CGACTCATGGCAGCCCAGCTCCAGGTTGAGCTGTTGTTCAGCATCTTAGTTGTGGAGGGCAGTGTCACTGGCCCTCATATGTGGGATCCGAACCGGGGCCCTCTGGCGTCCCAAGCCAGTTCTTAACCATCACGCCACTTTGCCGGCCCTAACCAGTACCTATTTTTGTACAGACAGGTTTGTTTTCCTCCAGCTTTTTACTACTGTACACAGTGCTGTAATGGACATCCTCATAGCATAATAAACAAAATCTTAATTGTTTGTCAGGTAACTTCCAAGAAGTTGAATTGCTGGGTCAGTTCTGATAGGAAGTAAACAGGTGCTTGTTTACTCATATCCTCACCTTCACTGGGTATTAAAGTTTGTAATCTTTGCAAATTTGATCAGGTGGAATGCTATTCTGTTTAAATTTGCATAACTTTGAATCCAAGAAAGGTGAAACACTTTCCATCTCTATATCTTCTCAGACTCTTTTAATATATTGTGTGAATTACTTGTTCACAACTATTGCCAATTTTTCTACTGGAATCATTATCTTTTCTCACTGATTTGTAAGGGGTCCTTTTACATTAGGGATCATTATTAAGTCCTTTTCATATATTCCCAAAACATTTTATTTACCCATTCATCAATTGATAGACCTTTGGGTTGTTTCCACTTTTTGGCTTTTATGTATAATACTGCAATGAGATTAGTACACAAGTTTTTGTTTGGGCATATGTTTTCAATTCTCTCGTGTAGATATAGCTAGAAGTAGAATTGTTAGGTCATGCGGTAACCCTGTGTGATGAAATATTTGAGGAGCTGTCCACCTGTTTTCCATAGAAGTTGGACAATTTTATATTCCCATCAACAATATCTGAGGGTTCCAATTTCTCCACATCTTTGCCAACACTTTTACCTTTTTTTTCATTATAGCCATCCAAATGCATATAAAGTGGTATCTCATTGTGGTTTTGATTTGCATTTCCCTCAGGACTAATGATGTGCAGCATCTTTTCATGTGCTAATTGGCCATTTGTATGTCTCTTTGGAAAAATGTCTAATCATATTCTTTGTCCATTTTAAAATAGAATTATTTGCCTTTCTATTATTGAGCTGTAGACGTTCTTTATATATTCTCAATACTAGTCCCTTATTGGGTATACAATTTGCAAATGTTTTCTCCCATTCTGTGGTTTTGTCTTTCCACTCTCTTGATGATGTCCTTTACAGCACAAAAGTTTTTAATTTTGATGAAGTCCAATTTATCCATTTTTTTCTTCTGTTGCTTGTGTTTTTAGTACTGAAGTTTTTACTTTTGATATAATGTTTTCCATTTCGAGTTTCTGGATTTAGGGTCATGTTTAGATATTCATTTCTTACCCTGAGACAATGTAAATGTTGTCCTACATTTTCTTATAGCACTTTTATGGCTTCATCTATTTCATATTTATTGAGAACTTAGTTCCACAGATGGTATTGGATTAAATACATTTATTTTATGCCAATGGTTCATCAATTGTCCTGATACCATGGTTTGCACAGCATGCATTTAAAGGGTTGGGTTCAGCCTGTGCTTAGAGGAAGTGAACAGAGCTCAGTTGCAAAATGAGGATGAAAGTCATGACGCTGGCTTGGCTAACTCCAATGGCAGGTCTGTGTGCTGACTTCAGTTCAAGTTCGTGCAACTAGAAGGGGTGGAAGAATCTAGAGTGACTGGCTTTTTATTGTCCAGTTGTTTTTTAGCCTCATGATATTTCTAGTTCACATGCCCATCTGAGCAATGAGTTGCCTACAGGATGGGATCACTTTTTTTTTGAAGGGAGAGAAATGATATTGTTTTTGTCATCTTCTTAGGATAATGCTTCCGTACAACTACAGATTGTCAGATAGTCAGGAATTCCTAGAGATGTGAAGTATTGAGCTTTTGAGTCTTTTTGATAGCCTGGGAGAGTGCCAGACCTCTCTGTAAGCCCCCAGAGGAACCGTATGCAGGGGCGGTCCTGTGTACTTTTCATGTAACACACTCTTCACTCAGCTGCCATACAGATTGTGAGGTTCATGTTGCTGTGAATCCTCGTGACCAAATATTAATAAGGAAAGAGAGACTTGTGAGCACTCAGCTTCATTCTACCTCAAGGTGAAAAAAGAGTAGGTTGAATTGCTCAGCCCTGTCTGGAAATCTAGTGACATGAACACATCAGAAGAGGAGATCTGTGAAGGGGTTTGCCCCTCCAGCACAACAGAGGGGGTACCATTGCTGGGCCCACACAGTCGGGCTCCAAGTCCTCACAAGTGGCCTTGCTGCTGACCTGTTAATGCACAGGATGACTCCTGTCCTCCTTTCTCCAACAGCTGTGATTGTACTTTTAAAAATGCCAGTGTTCCTTGTTTTATAAATAACCATTCATATCCATCACAGATCTTTATACAATGCATTTAACACAAGGATTCAGCCCCAGGTGGGAACATAGCAAACCTCTTTTTCTCCCTCCCCTCCTGACTCTTTTTAAAAAAATAGACTTTATTTTTCAGAGCACTTTGAGGTTCACAGCAAAATTGAGCGTAATGCATGGAGTTCCCATAGCCCCCCCCCACACACACCCCCACAGCCTCCACTATTACCAACATCTTACTAGATGGGGGGACATATGTTACAATCCAGAAATCTACATTCCGCCAGACTCTTTGATTGGTGAAGGAAGTGTCAGAGTTCATTGCCTCCAACATCCCAGGGCGCTTTCCTCTAATAATACTGGGCTTTAGAACACAATCACCCTCCATTAATGGGCATTATGCCATGAGGAGAGGGTGACATGAAGGCAGTGCTCAAGGCCAATTAATATCCTGAAATGACACCACTTACTTGTCAGGGAGCTGCTGTCTCGGGAAGTGTGTGTGTGTGTGTGTGTGTGTGTGTGTGTGTGTACGTATGTGTACGTGCGCACACGTGCGCGTGTGTGCACACGATATGAAATTTTGTCACATGTATAGATTCCTGCAACCACCATCACAGTCAAGATAAAGGACAGTTCTTTCACCACAAGGGTCCTGCCTGCTTTCCTTTTATAATCACAGCCAACCCCCTTCCTAACTCCTGTCAACCACTATTGCTTCTCCATCTCTGTGATATTTCAGAATCTTTTGAATTTCAAAATCCTAAGTAAGGGATTGTCACCTTGCATTTGTTATTGTTCCAAGAACAACTCCAGGTCTATGCCAAGATGGAAGTGGAAGCCCTTCAAAACTCTTAATTATGACTTAATCATGTAGCATATCGTAAGGATGCTGTATATGTACCTAAATTACATGAACAGAAACCTCTAGATTTGAAAAAAAGCATATAAAGCACTCAGCACAGGAGGAAAGTAAAGTGAAATATTAACCATAAATCTCGCTGCCTGGTGGGATTATAAATTATTTTTATGCTAGCCTTTCATCCTTTTTTAAAACAGCTTTACATAAGCATATTTCTATAACCAGATAAAGACTAGATACTTCTTATAGGAAATAACTAGATACAAGGAGCACAGACTGTGTTGTCATTCTCAGTCAGGCTCACCTGGCATAGGCCCAGCTCCGCCACCTGCCGGCAAGTCCCTCACCTGCAAGCTTCTGCTCCCTCCCCTGTAAGATGGGGATGCCAGGTGACCTGTCCCACTGGATTGCAGAGATTCAATGGAGTACTGTGCACAGAGAGCCTGGATATAACAAATGCTCAATGTGCAGTGGCTGTCACTTTGAAAATAAAAAGTCCTCCCTGGCAGCCTGGGCTTTGTGGGTGACAAGTACAAAGGAGCAGGTCCTGCTTTAGTCAGGTAGAAGCCCACAGAGGGGTTACTGGCTGGGGCCTGTGCAGAGGGGGACCAGAAGGGTCAGGGAGTTGGGAAGGGGCTGTCCTTCCTGACCCAGAGCTGGGTGGTCATGGGCTCATAGCGGACACTAAGTGCTTTTGTCCTTTGTCCAGGTGATGACCGGTATGGCAGCAATGACGACTCTGAATCCGGTGGGTTTGAGTCCCAAGGTTTCTGTTGGAAAGCACAAAGACACATAGTGCTGGCCTACTCTTATCTCAGAGCTGGCCCTCCCGACCTTCCCCTGAATGTTTCCGGTAGAGAACTGTGAGGCCAACAGCAGAGGGATGAAGTCACTTAAAGGAATTACGCATGAAAATGTGGATCCCCCGGGAGGTGGCCCCGTGGGAAGCCCACTGACCTGAGACCTGGAGACCTGTCTGGGACTCCGTTAAAGAGGGACTGCACCATTTCCATGTTTCCCTGTTAAGCTTCTCAAAATGGAAATCCTTACAGAAAATGAGAAGCACTTGGCAAATCCAAGGTGGCACTGTGTCATTTGAACCCCTTAGATACAAGTGGCGTAGTCCTCTCATACTGTCTTGGAGGTCCTGGGCATTGGAACAAGCTTAACTCAGCGCCTGAGCCGATCCTTGTGGTGCTCCTCACTTGACTTTACTTCTTATTTCTCCCACCCTCTCCTTTGCCCAGGAATGTCGCCAGAGACCGGCACCATTGCTGGTGTGGCCAGTGCCCTGGCCATGGCCCTGATCGGTGCTGTCTCCAGCTACATCTCCTACCAGCAGAAGAAGTTCTGTTTCCGCATTCAGCGTAAGTGGATCTGCCCTGCCGCTGTGTGTGGCTGTGCCCACAACCGTTTCATTACCCCCACTGCTGGACATGAATGAATGGTCAAGGTTTTTGGAGGGAAAGGGGCAGAAACATGAGCAAGTTGAGATTCAGGTCCATTCCACAGCCTACCTGAGAGCAACTCCAGAGAAGACTTCCTGGGGAAGGGGGAGGTGGAGTTGCACTTTTGGAAATCCTTGGGAACACAACTGAAGTGTAAACCAGCCTGAAGAGAGGATGGGGCTGGACACAATGACCTTGGTCTTCCAAGGGCTCCAGTTCCCAGAAGCCGGATTTCTGTGGGGGCAGAGCCCAATGACCATTGTGATGTTTCCTTGTAATCGAACAAGAGATACCCCGGAATTTCCATATGGCCTCAGATCTCACCCAAAGGAATTTGGGGCCTTCAGAGGCCCTGGATCAACAGCTCCCACTCATGCTGCCAGTTTCCTCAGAAGTAGAAGGCAGCAGTCTCTGGGCATCGCTAAGACCCAGCAGGCAGCACTGCTGGGTAAGCCAGCATTCCTCTCCTCCCTTTCAGGTCCCAAGAAGTTACTGCCCCGGTGCCCCTGCACCTCCCGCATGAGTCAGACAAATCTTAACATAGATAGAATCACGAATTGTTTTAAAGGAGTAGGAATGCAAGAGAGACTAGAGTGTGGTTTTCCTCCCCACCCACCCACGCTAGATTTGTAAAAGCAGGGTTGCTTCCGTTTTATGTCATAGCTGTGAATCTAGAAGATGTGGGTAAATTGCAGAGTAACAAATGAAATCCTGTCTTGGAAGCTGGCAGGTATCCCATGGGGGGAACCCTGTAGGGATGCTGTTGGGGGTGAACTGAAAGACCCCACTTGTTGGTTTTAGAAGCACAGCGTTGATGTGTCACTGTTTGCTGAGAGTGTATCTCTACTTTAAGGCTGGCGATTTTTAGTTCAAGTGACAGAACGTGACTCAGTGGTAGTTCCCCTCTTTCTTGAATCTGAGGACTGTCCCCTGTGAGGCTTAACCTACCCTTGCTCTAGGCCTCTGCCCTTCATTCTATCCTGGAGCGGAGCTTCCCAGAAAACTAACCCAGGTCCCAGAATGCTTTGAATGTTGATATTGCTGAGGTTATCACACTGATTTTTCATCTGGCCATCACATTTGCTTCTTTGACTCTTATGTAATAATCTTGACCACGGCCACCACATACAGACAGCTACACAGGCTGTGCACAGCAGTACTCTGGGGCACCATTCACATCTCAGCGCACAACCTGCACAACCGCTCATGGTCTCCTTGCTTGAGACCCTGTCAACTCATTTGGGATAGAGAAGCTTGTCTGTAGAGTGGAGTGAACAGGGAAGACTCCGAAGGAGAGCAGACCTGGAGACTGCTTTGTCCTTAAAGCTATCCCTTGTCCCAGCTCCAAAGCAAAGAAACCGAGTGGCTTAAAACAGCAGAAATCTATTCTTTCACAGTTCTGGACGCCAGAAGTCCAAGATCAAGGTGTCAGCAGAGTTGGTTCCTTCTGGAAGCTCTAGAAGAGGAACTGTCCTTGCCGCTCACTCCCAGGTTCTGGAGGCCTTAAGTTTCCCATGGCTTATGGCTGCATCAGTCCAAAATCTCTCTGCCTCTGTCTTCACATGGCCTTTCCCTCTGTGTCTGTGTCTCCTCTTTTGTCTAAGGACACCTGCCATTGGATTTAGGGCCCACCTGGATAATCCCATCTCAAAATCCTTAACTTAGTGACATCTGCAAAGACCCTTTTTCCAAATAAGGTCCCATCCACAGGTTCCAGGGATGAGGACATGGACATATAGTTTGGGAGCCAGCATGCATCCTAGTACAGCATCGTTACCCTAACAGTGAGAACTCCCACAGCCTGACGAGGAAATGGAGGCTCAGAGCACTGGTGAAGGAGCTTCCTCCAGATGGGAAGCAGTGACTCTAGAAGGGGGGCCAGTAGGTAGGAACAGGGAGGGAGAAGAGGTCGGTTTCCAAACCAAAAAAGAGATGTCTGAGTTGTAGCTGTTTGTGGGGACACTAAGGTGAAATGAAAATACGTTATTTTCACACTTGTTTCCTAACACAAACAGGCGTGAGGTTTTACAAAGTGGATTTGCAGAAAAGACACATAAAATGTGAGAACGTGAAGGCTTTGGTATATAGAGTTGAGCAATTCATGGGATATTTGGGAAAGAATAAACCAAAAAGAGGGGGGGTGTTGATAACAGCTGAAAGCTTTGTGGCAATAAGGCTGGAGAACATGGATGCAACCTCTCTTTCTGGGGGCCAGCCTCAAGGTGAGGGTGTTACTGGGCCAGACAGTGGGGCTGAGCCTGCTGGCAGGGGTGACACAGGCCAGAGAGGCAAGTAGGCTTGTAGGGCTAATGGTCGTTCCAGGAAGTTCGTGGAACCCACTGCCTTGGCACACCACTGAGCGGGAGCCAACAGGCCTCTCCCCAAGCCCTCCCCTTCCGCCCCCATTCAGCCGAAGAGTAGGCTCCTTTCCATGTGGCTGACTTCACAGTACACACACTGGCCTCTGTAGGTGCCACTGCTCTCTAGGTCATGGCCCAACCCCCGAGCTTGGCATCCAAAGCCCTTTATGGTTCGGCTCCAACCACATCCCTTCCTGTCCCCCCTCCCCCACCCCCCCTCCTAAGGCCCTGGGCCCAGAAGCCTTTCTCCACAGCCATACTCACTTACTTCACTGTGCCCTGCTGTCTCCAGCATCCTCTGCACTGTCCCCTCTCCTCACCTAGCTGCTCTCATCCTTTGGGCCTGAGGTACCCTCCTAGGAAGCCTTCCCTCCCTCCCAGCCTGTGGGCCCTGACTAGATGCCTTTCCTGCGTGCGGCCACAGCGCCCCCTGCCGACTGGTGTGAAGCCTATAGGACAGGATTGGCCTTGGTGGTTTGTTTCTGCATCTGTGACTGCTGCCCGTGGCCTCCCCCACCCCTACCCCCCACCCCCATCTTCATAACTCTCTGGACTGTCAGCTCCCTGGGGGACTGTGTGCATTTCATCTACCAGTGTGTCCCTGGCTCCTAGGATGGGTTGGAATCGGAAGGAGTCCCATGGGTGTGGGGTGGCTAAGCCCACCGTGAAGCTGGGAGTCGGGACCTCCGATCCCTGCCCTCTCTGCTGAGCCTCTGCCCAGAATGGCCTCAACCACCACTGCATGGAGGTTAGGAAAGGCAGAGCAGAAATGGTGCACCAGGAAGCCCCAGGAGGGTGAGGGAGGGTAGCATGTGGCTTCTAGGAGGGACTGTGGTGCTCAGGGGCTTCCAGCCTCTGCCGCCACCAAAGGGGCTCAGGTTTTGGGGATCCTCTGCTTTCACATCTCTGCCCTCAGTGCCAAGGGCCAGTACATCTTACAGGAAGCCCGTGTGCTTTGTTGCCGGGGGCTGCATTCTTGCTCCAGGGTCCTAAGCTTTGTGTCTTGCCTTCAGATGCAGCAGATGTTCAAGGTAAAGCTATGCTTTGACTCACTCATTTTCCTCTTCTGCTTTGGCCTCGAGGCCTTGTTGTCGTCCCTCCCCACCCTGCTGCTCTTGCTCCTTCTCCCGTCTCTCCAACTTGGCTTCAACCACAACCATCTTTAGCTTTTCCTGATACATATGGGAGGGTACTACCTGTCAGACTCTCTGCTCCCAGGCTGAGTGTGGCTGGGTTCAGGGGTGGGAGGTGGGGGTCCTGCCTGAAACTCAGATGCCCACTGGCAGTCATCCCTGAGGAGTAACTAGATGGCTGCTCACAGGCAGAAGCCAGTCCGGTGCACATCAGGATGGCAGCTGGGCAGTGACTAAGGGACCGGGACGCAGCTCCTAGCCCCTGTCCATCAGTCGGGAATAGCTTCCGCCAGCTCCATCACCTGCGCTGCCCTGGATGGGGGCTGACCTCTCCTGCCAATGAGCAACACCCTCATTTTTCCTGGGCCCATCTGGTGTTCGTTTTGAGCCCAGCAAGCAGCATGGCGTGCAAGTGTACTTTTCTAGGTGAGAAGCCTGAATACAGCCCAGAGCAGTGGAGTAACTTACCCTGGAGCCTGCTCAGTCAGCTGGTTGGTTAGAACCATGACCCACTTTTCCCACAGGCCCAGAGCTCTGATGAGGTTTCCAGTTTCCAGTTTATCCAGGGATAAGACAAGGACTCTTGACTCTCCCCAAGCAGCAGCAGGAGTGGGGCCCACTCTGAGTCTTGAGTAATGGCCCTTGTGTCTGGCATGGTGCCACTCAGTGGTTGGAGTGCTAGCGTGCAGAGGATGCTTTCTAGAGTCCCCAAGTCCCTCTCAGAAGTAGGTGGGGAGAAAGCCCAAATGACTAACTAGACCAGAGCACCTATCATCTGTGGGTCCTGGGCCCTGCATGCTGGGACAGGGACAGCACAGTTCCCATGCCTGCAGGAGCTGCTTGGCCTCTCCACGCGGGTGTTGCTGGGAGGGCCGGACACTAGCAGGAGGCTTTGCTGGCATCTCCACAGCGAGCCCCACTCAGCCATCTGCCCCTCCCTGCTTGGCATACATCAGTCACTCGCGCAGTGCTTGGCTCCATCTCTGCCTCCTTGGCCCCTGGGCCAGCATGTGGACCCATGGGTGATACTGAGCCCTGCCGTTGGGTGCCCCTTGTGCTGTGTGGACCTGCTGCCTGGCCCACAGCCTCACACGTGGTGGCACCTGACCTATGCGGATGGGGTATCTGTCAGGGGCCTCTGCTGATTGTCATTTCTGAGGACCATGATGAGGACTCCTGGGCAGGTCAGCACACTCCGAGCCAGCCAGTCTTTGACCAGACAAGGACGTTCGGGTGGCCCGGGTGCAGGGTCTGAGTCCATCAAGGGCTTTGTGTGTTTTGAACTGTAATGGAGGACTTGGGCAGGAGAGCTCCATCATGGTGGGAGACCTTTGGTTCTGCGTCCATCACTAACTCTGCCCTTTGCCTTTTGCAGAGGGTCTCAATGCAGACTACGTGAAGGGAGAGAACCTGGAAGCCGTCGTGTGTGAGGAACCACAGGGTGAGGACTTCTTGGTCACTGTCCATTGCTGAAGGTCTCCTCGTCAGTGAGCAGACCTGAGCACTGAGCAGAGCTGTGCTCACGAAGCACAGAGGTGTCTGTTTCTAGCATGTCCAGCCACAGCAGGGGCTGCAGCGGCTCAGCGGGCCCTGTCCTCTGCCCTGATGAGCTGGACACCAGGGCCGGGTGGTGCCATGCTGAGGACTTCTGTACACTGTTGAGGCTCAGACTCTACTCTTGTCATATGCGCATAAGCCCCGGGTCCCTGTGCTCCCTGCCATGAAAATAGACACCTCCCATACAAACTCTGATAGCGCCATGGTGAATCTTTCCATCTAGACTCCTCACCTTTCAATTTGAAAATTGCCAAAGGCAAGAGGGAACTGGGTTAAAACACGGACCCTGTTATTAGAGACTGTGTCCCACCCTATCTCCATCCATCCCCCTTCTGTGATCATCAAGCCCTTTCTTAGTGCAGGAGCCATTGGTGATGCAGGCTGTGTAAGGTCAGGCTACTGGCCTGGAGTGGCCAGTCTCAGGGCAGATACCACGTATGGCCCCAGAATGCGCTGTGTGAAGGTGGGGAGCCAGCAGCTGTCCTCAGCAGAGGCTGGCGTGGGTGCAGGCAGGGAGATGGGAGTGCAGTGCTGCAGAGGGCAGCAGTGGGTGGGGGGATGGGCCACACTGGTGTGGAATGGGGGGCAGGGTGCTCCATGCCATTGTTTAGGATGGGTGCTACACTGAGTGGATTAAAGAGCCCTGGATTAAGACATGGGAAAAGTGACGGTACCATAGCGTTCACTGATCATTTTTAAAACTCTTAGCCGCCATTGTATGAGCAGGTACTGTGGGTCGGGTACTGTGTTGGGTACTTTATTTAAATGATGCTCCCCGCAACCCCATCATGAGTATTCCCATTTTACAGATGAGGAAATGGAGGCTGAGCTGTTCCCAGGGGCTGACCAGCTTCCTCCTCTCCAGGGCCCAGGGTTGCCCTGACTGCAGACAGAGTGGAAGTCAGAGGGTTGGTTGCCCGGCAGGGGCTGAGCTACTACAGCTCCTGGACAGGACAGACAGGGAGCCACGTCGCTGTCCCCAGTAGGGGCTGGCCTGTATATTTGCACCTTCTGTGTAGGGTAGGAATGAGTCCCTTCTAAAAGGCATCTTCTCTCCACAGTGCAATTCTCAGCGCTGCCACCCCAGTCTGCAGAGCCGCCGCAGCCCCAGCCGCCCAGGATCTGAGGCCCCACGCAGCAGCAGACGCACAGTGGCGCCGCCACTGGGGACCCAGCTCCTTATTTCATTTGGACCCGCAGCCGCTGTAGTTCTGCTTCGATGTCATTGGCTTCTCGTTCTAAGTTTTCTGGATGAGCTCTGGGTGATTGTGAGTTTCGTTTCTGTGCCCTGGACACAGACTGGGGTGCCCCCCTGCCGCAGGTGCTCTGAAGACTTGGTGTTGAAATCCAGCCTCAGGAGCCGCTGGGTCACTGACTCCCCAAAGCCAGCCTATCCCAGGCCTTAGTGAGCTGGGGCGGGGGCGAGGTGAGGGAGGGCAAGAGGACACTTATGCTTAGAGGACAAGGGTTTGACCGCAGGGTAGTGTCATTCCCGAGGTTCTGCATTGATTCACTGGCAGGTTTCTGCCAATAGGCAGCCCTTGGTGTGACCTCAGAGAGCTTTCAGGGGGCCCAGCTAGCACCCAGTGCTTGAAGCCACTGCAAGGAGCAAACCAGCGAGCACCCACTAACATGTGTCTGTGTGTGTGCGCGCGCGCCTGCGCACACACACAACAAGGGGCGGGGGTAGGGGGGTGTCATTTTGGTCCTTCCTTCCAGTTCCAGTGTTGACACTGCTGGGCTTCCAAGGAGTTGGCCCACGTGGAGACTTCATTTTTTTAAGTGCAAACATGCATGCCATGATAGTCCTGCCCTGAGAGTTTAGGAACCTTCTGGACAAGTAGGAAGCTATGACTCTCAGGTCTAAATTCCATCTGATTCCATAGGGGACTGGTGTAGTCTCCAGGCTGACATGATTAGTTTTTAGGAATCATTTATGCATCGGAAATGCATTTTATCCTGGACGTGGGAGGTGTTCACCCTCCACCCTGTTTGTGTTCTTATTTTGGTAGCAGAAGCTACAGACATCAATAATGAGCATCAAAGCCACAGGCATGCTGTATGCTTTTTGTTGGCTTAGAAATGTATTGGGGGGGGGTGCAGGGAGGGATGTTTGCTTGCTTTAGTGACGTACAGCTGACTTGGTGTGTAGTTACCTGCCTGGCCTGTTAGGGATGAGCACTGCGGTCTGCTCAGTGTGATAAACAGCAGAACCCGGGAACTGGCCCCTTACCTGGCCCGGCGCTGATTTGGGCCGGAGCAGAGCTGGCTTCCTGGAATGCTCCCTTTAGCCCCCACGTGGTCCTGTCCCTGGGAGCCCTGCTGTCAGAGGCCGAGCTAGAGCCATGTCTACCGATAATCAGTTTGCAGTGTCGAAAAGCACTTCGGAAAGCATAATATAGGTCAGCAGAAAGCTAGGGTCCCATTTACAAGTTCACGTGCCTCTTTGCCCCGCACGGGCGGCCCCACACATCCTATAGGCTGTGCGTTAGCTCCCTGTCCACCAGCTGGGATGAGGCAACTCCAACTTATTAAGGAAACAGTTGAAATCTGAACAGACCCCGCACGTTATCTAACGCATGCCTCCTGTGCTCATTTCAGCACTTATTTAAAAAAAAATACCCATGGGATGGAAATCAGGTGTAGTACGTGGCTCAATGCTGCCCTTTGGATCCATTCCCCATACAGGCCTGTAGGCACTGAAAGGCCCTCCCTGCGTGGGGGCACATCCCAGACAGCCTAGGAGTGTGTGTCTATGACGGGGTGGGGAGCACCCCCTACTGAGGACACACCTGTGCTCCAGGGAGTTGAGCAGGGGACGCATTGCTTAGAAGGTGTGCCTATTTCCAGCACCCTCCCTGCCTGCAGTGGCCAGATTATCAACTTTGCGAGGCCTGTTCCTCCCAAGGATGGCAAGGGCTGATGGCCTCAACCCTCACTGGTGCTGGGCTGGAGGCGGCGGCTATGAAGGCTTTTTGGATCCATGGCCTGTTGCCTCGTAGGTAGGGTGACCTGAGGACCCGGGGAGGGCCAGTGTCAGGGAAGGATCGCGTTAGGATGGCTGTGTGCCAAGGCCCCCGAGGCATTTTAAAGGAAGAAAAACAGGGCAGCGCTTGCAGGTGGTAGAAGACTTCTGTCCCTGCCCCCATGGAGTGTGGATGAGGACGGATGTGACCTGTGTGTTGCCTGGCATGGCAAGCATGGTGCTGGCACTAGAGCTGTTGGGCTTCTCCGCTGGGAGGCCGGAAGGCCCCTGAGTTTCACTTTGAGGCTTGTGATGGCTAAAGGCCTCCAGCTGTGATGAGAAGTCAGCGTCGTTGGTAAAGCCACCGCCTCAGCAGCTCTGCCTTCGGTTCACAGGCCCCTTTTGCTCCTCCTTAGCTATCTGGGTGCTTTCTGCAGAATGGCCACAGCCCAGTGCTCAGACCTGCTCCTAGCGACTGGCCATGCCTGGTAGGTCACTCAGTCGCCCAGGGGGGCACTGACGCCTGCAGAAGCCTCCAGGACTCTTATAACTGTGATTATCTCCAAGTTGCATTGGCTAGTGTAGGCCCGCCCCAGGTGATAGCGGAGATAAAGTGAATGAACTAGACAGGTGGAGTGAACATAGTCAATCCAGGTCAGCTTAACATGGTGGCGGGGAGCTCAGTGTTGACAATAACTGAGCACGTGGGGGAAGGAGGTATGGCAGCTTTGTGGTGTGGGGTGCCCTCTGGGGTGCCACCCATAGAATACTGCCAGGCCCACTGCCTTGGCCACTAGGATTGGGTTTTAGTACCAGTTCCCTGAGGAAGAAGAAATAGAGACTGATCATAGAATCCCCTTACTTTTTATGTGCTTGTGTTTCAGTGAATTGTAAACTGTCTCGTGTTTGCATTAAACAAAATGGAACCTAACAGATCATTGCATTGTGACGGCATTAAGGTTCCTTTGTCAAGTGATGCTGTTTTTTTTCTTAGTTTATGATATGGAGCTGGCCTCTTCCTCCCCTTCCCCAGCCAGAGGTATTTGTCGAGCAGGTGAGAGGTAGGTTAGGGCTTCCAGGGGGCGGCCCTCCTCAGGGTACAAGGAGCTAAGGCCTGGAGCTACAGAGTGACAGTATCTGATGTCCCAGGGCCGAGGTTCAGAGGCAGGCCCCAGACTCTCAACTCCCATGCCTACTGCTCTGCCTTCTTCAAAGAAAGGCAGTATCGAGGGTGGATGTGTGTTCGTGCAGTGGTTTCAGCCAGAGAAAGCTGAGCAGGGACAGGGGCCCTGCCACTCATTGCAGCCATGTGTGGAGCGGCCTGTTTGAGATAAAGTGTGCTCTTGACCTCGCAGCTTGGCTTACCAACTTTAAGACAGCCGGACATTTCAGCGTGAGCCAGATGCGGTGGACACTAGGAGGGTTTTCACATTGAGGTGGGTGGCACTTTTGTCCTTGTAGTAAAATAGCACCAAGTCCTCAAACCCAAACCCACCAAGCGACTCTTGTGTGCAGAGCCTCTGCACAACCAGCTAGGGCCTCACACAGTGTCCTTCCCAGCCTTGCCGCTGAGGTGTCACTGCTGGGGACTACAGCTGCAGTGACTGGTCCATGGAGACGGACAGGGACCCCAGGCCCGTGTAAGAGTGGCCTGCAGAGGGCGCTGTGGTTTCATGCATGCGCTTACAGCCCCCCAGAAGGCCAGCATTTCTGCTGTAGACTCAGGGTGGGGATGCTGGGCTTCTCAGAAGTCCACCCCATTTTAGGCTCTCGGACACGTGGCCTGAAAAGACAGCCCTGCCTCCTCTGAGCTGCACCTGTCTCATGTCCACAGCCCTTTCCGTGTTCACAACATCTTCTCAAGGTTAAATTCAAGGGCATTTCAGATTTTTAAATCAGACTACTTACCCATTTTAGCCAAAACCCTCAAGACTTACGATAAATTGCATTTATGATTTAGTAAGTGAATTAAATCATGAAAGGAACTTTACACATATTAACTGTGCTTGGCACATAATAAAATAACATGTATTGAATGTTTACTATTCCTAATCTTCCCCAAGGGGAAAATCTACTGAAACACTTAAAAACAGAGACAACAACAACAAAACAGACCACAGAGCAAACATTATCACTTTAATTAGATTGAAATATAGTGCATCAGACGAGGCAAATACGATACTGTACCAGTTTTAAAAAATCTGAACTGTAAAGGTTGTACATTCTAATACACTTAAATAAAACCGAAAAAAAAAAAAGAATTGTTTAGGTAACAAAACTATACTTCAAGTTGTTTTAGAAACAGATCTGTGCTAGGAACATACAAAGAAAAGTGGTCTGTTGTGCTGCTTGCAAATTGAATGGGACTTGCTGGGGCCCAGCATGCAGGGGAGGGCAGGGCAGCCCCGCCCCAGCACCAGGCTAGCTGAGCTCAGCAAGAATAAGCCCACTCTGCTTCTGTCAATAGCATACTCCAGGGCACACCCAGTTTAATAGTCTAGGTGCAGCTAGGGGATTAAGGGGGTTTAAAAATGGGAAATGTCCTCATTTAAAAAAATGTATCAATGCATAATAAGGTTTTCCATTCATAAATAAGCTTTCAGATATGTTGGGAGCATAAATCAAAAGCTAACATCAATCAAACTATGATTTAGAAACAAATCCCCAGCTGATAAAAATGGAGACTTCATCTTAGGTGATCAAATGACTTTGAAGAAGTACTTTTGATACCTTATGGATACCGGATCATTTACTAGAATAATCAGAAAGTTCCACGTTGAAAAAACATCTATTCTCTAAGTATTTGACTGTAAAAAACCTTTTTTAAAGAATATATTTTCAAAAATAAGGTCAATCTGTAGGGCTTTGCATGGCACCCAGTAATTTGAAACCAACCAGATATTCCAATGCTGCTGTACTTAGGTCTGACCCTGTGAGAGGCCCCCGCCTCGAAAGGCTGCCTTAATTCTAGCAGGGATGGGGTCCCAGTGGCAGACCTGGGCAGGGGCGGGACGTGCTGGGGCAGGCGCAAATGTGCAAGATTGTGTGATACGCCACACACAGGAGCTCAGAGCTTTAGTGCTAGTGGATGGACCAGTTGATTGTAAATCAGTTCCTGCCCATACTGGTGGAGTCCCAGAGCCCCAAGTCAGTGAGTGAAGGCGCAAAACCGGGAGGAGAGGCCTGGCTGGTGAAGGTTGGCTCTGAGATGAGCAAACCAAGAGGTGTCCTTGCTATGCTTTTGGCAACTGAAGCGACAGCACAGTAGTTGCTTAAATATTTTGATATGAAGTCACATGAATAAACTGAATTGAAGGGATTTCAATAAAATGAGAGATTTCAGACAGGCAGGTGACAAGAGAGAGCGGACTCACTCTGACATAAATGGGCGGGAGGCTGCAAGGTCAGACAGGCCAGGAGCTGTGGACAGTTCCCTGAAGGAGCCCACGGGGAGGCCAGCACCTGCGCAGAGCTGCCTGAGGCCTTGGTTTTCTGTCTGCAGTGTCATGCTGAGAAAAACCACTGCTATTGCCACCAATGGCCTGGGCCACCTCAGTAGGCAATACCGAACTAGGTGAGGACAGAACACACTGCCATTTAAGGGACCATATTCCAATCATGTTTCAAATGTACCACATAAAAGTTAGCATGGGCTTTGTTTGAAGAGAATTTTCTCCTACAGTCCAGTTAAGCAGATACCTCCTTGGGTGACTAGTCTGAACATAAAAAAGGACATAGGAAAATAAAGGCATGTTTCTCTTATTTAAAAATACCTTATATGTACACAACAGTAATTGGTACAGGGGCCCCCGTGCATGAAGAGAACTCTAGAACAGAGGGCAATGCTCTGTCTACCCCCACCCCCAAATAGTTAATTTTCAAAGGTTTCAAGTTACAGGAAAGAGCTGAAAGAACCCACATGGCTGGCAACGAAGTCTCTAAGTGACGGTGTTTGTTTTAATGATGGTCTACCTTAGAAAGAAATGAATGGTACGAGGACTTCTTGAACCTAAGCACTGCGTTCCATTCACTATGGCTTCTCCCAAGCTGCCCGGCGATCAAAAGGCAGGTCAACGGGACACACAGCCACCCTGAGAAACCCGACAGGAGGGAAACGGGGTGTTCACAAAACAAAGCATAGATGACAGTAGGAGCTGTCACCTAGCCGCACACATGGTCACTGGCTGGAAGTGCCACCCAGACGCGGAGGGAACTGGGCCTAATCCTAAAAGACAAGATCACAAGCGATAGCCGAAATGGGTCGCAGGACCCTTGCCTGAGTCACCAGGGACAGCAGAGGAGCCGCAGGATGGCCTTGATGGCTGGACTCACCGGAACTGCCGTGTCTGGAGCTGGTCAGACTGAGGTGTGCACGGGTGTGATCGAGTGGGAAGGGGAAGAACCCCGCTCAGATGGGGACGAGGCGCGCGTGGCCACCTCCCGCTGCAGGTCCTCCACTCTTTTCTGCAGCTCTGCCCTGACGGCCAGCAGCTCCTTGAGATTCTGATGAATCGGCATCTGGGGGCATGCAGGACACAGCTGTGTTAGCAGGCCACCGTCGGGCACTGTGTTTCTAACAGCCTGTCAGCACAGGGACACTGCCAAGATGCCCTGTGCACCCTGGGTCTCCTTGGTCTGACCCACCTGGCGCCAGGCTCCAAGGACCCCCTCCCCACGAGTCGGGGGGCTTTGGTCCCCCCTGTGCTGTCCTGCCCGGCTTGGCTAGGTTCCCGGAGAGCACAAGGGGGATCAGGTGAAACCACAGCCTGTGCGTCAGGCAAGGCCACAGGCACAGATTGAGAAAGGGACAGTCAGCCCTCCTCAGACTGGGTGGGAAATGCAGCTGGCTTTCGAGCGTGTTTACATGTATGCCACTCACCCCGTGCACACACACACCTCCAACTTAGCAGCTTTATAAATAACTCTGCTGGCTGAAAATACTTCTGTTACATCAGCACTTTCTGCAACTTGAAGCTGTGTTCATTTTCATCAGCTGGAACATGAGCTGCCAGAAGCCCTTGGAAAAGGCGGGGCCCGTGGAGCGGAAGGAACCCCCTGGGAACACCGGCTCCTCCATCCCTCCATGTGACAACTGCTCAACACCCTCCAATGGCTTCAGCAGCAGCCTGACCTTGGCCTCAAGGCACTGTGTGGTTTGACCCCAGCCTGCCTCTCCTGCTCACCTCTCACCAGGCCCTGCCTCCACTTCCCTCCTGCATTCCAGAATCTTCCAGGTTTGAAAGATGCCATGGGTGTGCTGTCCCTTCTTCCTGGAGCACTGTCCCTCCACCCATTTTCACACACATGTTCGCTTCGTCCCACAGGGCCCAGCGTCAAGAGTGTGTGCTCTGGGTTGGGGGCTTTTGGACTCACCACTCTCACCAGGCTTGTTTCATTATCTACATCCCCCCAAAACTGAGCAGGGATGCCAATGGTGATCAGCCCGACTGGAGGGAAGGAGGGAGACAGACGAGAGGGACATACACTAGAGAAAGGGAGAGACAGAGACAAGAAGGCGAGACAGATGAGAGGAAAAGAGGGATATATGGGGGCAGGAGAGTGGGACAGATACAGTGGGAGAGCCAGAGACAAGAGAGGGAGGGAGTGCAAGCAAGAGACGGAGCCAGGTGCCCCCACCATAGCAGGGTGGCTTGGTCACCAGCACTGAAGAGGCCGAGAAACTCCTGACTTGGGCAGGTCAGAGGAAGAAGGAAGGGGACAGCAATGTGGGAGTCGGATGGCAAAGACCCCCAAAACAAGAGAGTTGCCTTATTTGCTGCTAGTCCTAAGGCTGCTGGGAGATAGGCAACAGCAGCCCTCTTGACTTCTTTGGTATTTTCCTGTTTGTGGGATCCTTTGGTTCCTATCAGACGATGGATCGCTTTGCAATCAGGCTTCCATTACTAAAACCCACGCATGTGACCTCAGAGAGCAGATTGTGCGGGAATACACGAGTTCAACACACCCAGGGCCCAAGACAACCATGCATCTCCATGCAGCCTTTTAGATATTTTCTCTTATGTCACCTTGGTTGACAATAAGTCAAATGCATGCTTCCTTAAGAAAATGCCCATCTAGGGGCCAGTCACCCAGCGGAAGCTCCCAAAGGACCCAGGCTATCTGCAGGCCCGCCCTCCTACCCAGCCATCCTGTGATGGTGTGCAGGAGCCCCTCTCCAGGCAGCCAGACTCGCCCATCCTCAGAGGAAAGGCCCAACAGGCTTGTGGCCCCTGCCTGTCCTCCCTGTCCCCCTCCTCCTCCTCTCTGCCCAGCCTGGCTCACTGTCCCCTGTCATGGACACCCATACCAGCCTTTTTGCTGATCCCTTTGCCACAGCCTTCACTGCCCCTTCCCTGTTCCTGTCCACCTTAGTGCTACCAGAATGAGCTCTCTAGAACATACAACAGGTCTTGCTCTACTAACCCTGGTGGTGGTGGTGGTGGAGAGGGGGGGCGCTCCCACAGCCCTGGGATAAAGTGCAAACCCCCTGAGATGCTGCACAAGGCCCTCTGCAGCCTGGGCCTGCTGACCTCTGGCCTCCAACGTCACCAAGGCCCAGCCCACTCCCCAACATGCTCTGTGTGCCCCTCACCTAGGTCTCCAAAACGTGCCTGTTGCATTGAGGATAAAATGCTGTGGCCCTTGCACTGCCTTCCACTTCTCCCTTCTGTGTAGCACAGTGCAGGGGAGAATACAAAAAGCTGGACCACCTGCCTACCACTCTCCCAGGCATTCATTTTACACTCGCATCCCCCACAAGGTCTCAGCAAGGCTCAGGATCTTGCCCTGCATCAGGCATCAAATTGCCACCAGAGACAGGATTTGGCCCTGGCTTGGGGACAGCCTTCCCTTCCATGAAGACATGCACCAGGAGGCCGTGTATGACTGACTGGTTACGTGACTAGGGGATGAGTCGCCTGAGGTGTGGGCCGCTCCAAAGAGGAAAGGAGAAAGAATTTGGGGACCGTGTTTCTGAGAATGGTTTCGGGAGGCCACAGATGATTGCTAACTGATGTCATAGCACTCTAGGCAGATGCCACAGAGCTATAGATGGATGTTCGTCAGTATAGGGATAAGCCACAAACGTTTGAAATGATTTACTAATGGCTCACTGGCCACTAATAGAATTGAAAACCTGTATTTAAAATTTAAAACATTGACCACTGACCACAGAAGTTGACTAAACGTATACTGTTTGTTTTCATGGGGTAAAGAGCTGAGACTGTGTTTTTCCAGCTTCAGAAGTTCTTCAATAAAGAAAATATTTTTACAACTCTTAAATAGTTAGCATTTTTCCTACTGAAAACACACACTGAGCCCAGAACCCATTTGGTACTTAGAATTATGTGCTCTGGCCACCTTAGTGCTAAGGTCCTCTCACATCAATGTATTTGAGAGAGTGGAAGTACTAACTGCCCTTGCTAATGTCGTAACATAGGCAGCAGTAAGTGACCCCTTGCACCACGTTAGACATCTGCCTAACACACAGCAGGGGCCTCATATAGTAAATGGAGGTGAGTTTCCGGTCGGGAAAGATTCCTAAAGAAGGTTCTCAGAGCACCGGCTATTGGCACCACTGAGAGGCAAAGGGCAGGGAAAACGTTTCCGGGGATGGAGATGGGGATGGGGGGGTGCGAGGTGGAGTTGAGGGGTGGCCTGTGGGACATGGAGTCCATCAGCCCAGGATGGGTGGGGGCAGAAGCACAGGTACAGGGGAGGGCAGAGAGCCTGTGATATAATATGCTAACACCTAGCATGCACACATTTCTGTAACACCATCTTTACCTGGACAGAAAGACATGGTCTTTTGAAAAGAAAAAACAAAAACAAAAACGTACCTGAGGTCTCATTCGTGGATTCCATCGCACATAATAGTTTACCCATAATTCCAAATGACTCAGACTTGCAACAGGATATAAGACGTGGTTTTCATAATTCACAAAGAAGGGATTAGAGAACTCATCGAGCTGGCTATTGATGTAAGACCATAAAGATATAGTCTTCGTATATACATCCTGAAAAACGAAAAAGGAATACCTTGAAATAAATTAAACTTTTCTTCATATCCTTAAGAATTCATATTACATAAGAAAAGGACTTGAATAATGAATGAGGTGAGTTCAGATGGTGAAAATTCAGGAACATCTAAGTCTCACCACCATCCCTCTGCCATGCCTTGCCTCATGCCAGGGATGACATGAAAACACACACTGATTCCTGTCCTGGAAAACGTATTGCTGAGTGAGGTAACATCTGGCGACTGCGTCTGTGTGAAGGCAGAACGAGAATTTTCTAACAACCACGGGATGATGGCGCTCATCAATAACTAATACGAGTACATCTTAAATTCTGGGTTGCAGTTTGCTTTTGGACGGTGGGTAGAATTTATAGATCAGATTCTTTTAAATCATGGCTATCTTGGGGAAAACATGCCAGGGTGGCAGGCTGGAGAAACCTTATGTAGAGCAGTAAATATTAAAATGTATCTTCCCACCATCCAATTTTACAGTCCACTGTTTAGGAATGCCAATAACCATGTACACTGCTCAGCTAAATGAAAACACCCAAACCCACAGACACGGTGGGCTGGGAAAATACGAAACCTGAATCGAGCACAGTGGCAAAGTCCAAACGAGAAAACAGGGAGGCCAAGAGGGTTTTCTACTGTGCTGTTCCCAAGCCAGCTGACTTCCTCACAAGGTATTCAGACTCAGAAAACTCAATTAGGACCTTTTCATATTTTATATTTATAAGGGAAACACCTGCAATTATTCAAGGAAACCCAAATAGCCAAAATAATCTTGAAAAAAAGAGAACAAATTTGAAGGTCTCACACTTCCCGATTTCAAAATTTACTACAGAGCTACGCTAATCGATACAGGTGTGCTGGCAGGGGTGGCTAGATACGTGGATCAATGGAAGAGAAAAGGATACAAAAAACCTTCAAATTCACAGTCAACTGATTTCAACATGGGTGCCAAAAAATGGGGGAAAGATGATCTTTTCAGTAAATGGTGCTGGGACAACTGGATAACCACATGTACAAGAATGAAATTAGACCCTTACTGCACATTATATACATGCAATAACTCAAAAATGGATCATGAGCCTAAATTTAAGAGCTAAAACTCTTAGAAAACAACCACAGGCTCAATTATTCATGACCTTGGGTTAGGCAGTGGTTTCTTAGATATGACAAGTAAACCACAAGCAGCAAAAGAAATAAATTGCATTTTATCAAAATTAAAGACTTGTTTCAAATGACACCATTAAATAATGAAAAGACAATGCACAGAACAGGAGAAAAGTTTTGCAAATCATATCTGATAAGGGACTTGTATATATAAAGAATACATAAGGAACTCTTACAACTCAATAATAAAAAGACAAACGAGCCAACTAAAAATAGTGCAAAGGATCTGAATAAACATCTGTCCACAGCTGTAAACAGCTGGCCAATAAGCACATGAAAAGATGCTCAACGTCACTAGTTGTCAGGCAAATGCACATCAAAACCACAACGAGATACCAGTTCACACCCACTAGGATGTTTAATCAAAATAACACACTAACCAGTGTCTGCAAGGAGAAAATAGAACCCTCAGACACTGTTGGTGAGAATGTAAAATATCGGAACTTCTGTGGAAAACAGCCTGGTTTCCTCAAAGCTTAAACCTAGAGTTACTATATGATCCAAAAATTCTACTCCTAGGTATCTACCCAAGAGAACTGAAAACATATGTCCATACAAAATCTTGTACATGAGCGTTCACGGCAGCATTAGTCATAATAGCCAAAAGCGCAAACAACACAAAAGATCCACCTGCTGATGACTGGATAAACAAAAAGTGGTCTCTCTACACCATGGAACAGTATTCATCCATAAAAAGGAATGTGGTACTGACACACGCTACAACATGGATGAACCTTGAACACATGCTGAGTGAAATAAGCCAGTCCACAGGAGGACACATATTTTATGATTCCATTTATATGAAATGCCCAGAAGTTGATCCATAGAGATAGGAAGTAGATTATTAGTGTTTCCCAGGGGCTGGGGACAGGGAGGGATGGGGGCGTAACTGCTAATGGGTATGCGGTTTCTTTTTGGAGTGACGAAAATGTTATGAAAGATGGTGGTAATATGTGCACACTCAATATGCTAAAAACCACTGAACTGTACACACTAAAAGGGTGAATTGTATGGAATGCAAATGATATCTCAAGAGAGGTGTTTTACTTTTAAGAGTACATTTTGGCAAAAAAAAAAAAGATCATAAAGGTTAAAATTGTCCATATTCTACATATGAACTTCCTTCTGTTGATTTTTAAAATGGCTTTATTGATATATAAATTGCATACCATAAAATTCACTCTACTTTTTTATTATTAAGACGTTAACAGGCCTGCAGGGGTGTGGATTTTAACCTGATCACAGTGGGAAGGCACGGTGGGGGGGCAGGTTGTTTGAGCAGGGGAGAGGCACATGGTGGGACTGAAGTTTGGGAATACTGCCCTGTGTTGCCATGTTTCCAGTGGACTGCTGGAGATCAGAAATGGAGGGAGCGAAGTCTGTTTCTGGGCAGCTGCCTTAGTCCACATGTGAGATGAGGGGGTTTGAACTAGGTTTGTAGCTGTAAAGCAGTGAGGAGTGCTCAGATTAAGAATGCATTTGGAGGACAGGGCCGGGGCCAGCAGTACTCGCTGACGGAAGGGAGGTGGCAGCTGCGGTGAGAGCAAGAGAAGAACTGAAGATGGCCCCTATGCATTTGGCTTCAGCATCTCAGTGTGCAGAGGTGCCATTTACTGAGATGAGAAAGAGCAGGGAGGAGCCAGATGGCATTTAGAGCCCTGAGACAGATGAAGTCACCTAGAGAATAGAACCCAGGACTGGGCCCCAGATGACTCCAAGTTTAGAAATGGGTTCAAAGGGAAGAGGCTGAGCAGGAGAGGCCAGTGAGGTGGGGGAGAGCCAGATGGGAGCGGTCAGCTGTGGGGAGGCTGCTGAGAGAGGGATGTGGGCACTGGTGACCTACTGTTTCCTCCCAAGTTCTAAAACGTTCTAACATACTTTGCTGCAGGCAGTATCCTCTTCCATTACCCAGCGGATACTCTTTAAGCTGCTTTTCTCCAACACTTCCTCACTTTTGATCATTTCTTTCTTTCATCCCCGAAGTGAGGAGAAAAGGAAGAAGAGCTGAGATGTAACTCAGACTCTGGGTAGCTGCTGCTTTACCAGCTTGATGGAGAAAAAAACTTGAGCACGCTGCCCAGGGGGAGCTTTGTGGCTCATCTGCAGACTTCATTTTTGCAGGTCTCCAAATACCCCTCTGCCCAACAACACAGAGAATGACAAGCAGAATTATATCATTCTGGAGTTGGTACAGTGAAAACTCCATGAGCTTGGAGTTTATGGGGGCCAGGATCTAGTGCTGACCCAACAGTACTCAGAGAGCTGCGGACTTGCTGCGTCCCAGCCCCCAGAAAGTAAGGGGCTTGGATCAGATAACCTGGAAGATCAGACAGCTGTGCTGGGGCTGTTGAACTCAGGCAGGCATGTAGCGCAACACCTCCTTTTACAGACAGCAGCAGGCCTAGACCGAAGTCCCCTCTCCATTCAGTCCCCCTTCTACAGTGGCCCTTAATGGGAAAGGCACCCAAGCAATCGGGAAAACAATGGACAGGCTATAACACACTTACCTCTTTGAATCGCTGCTGTTCACAGTTGCACAAAAAAGTCCCAAAGAGACAGCTATAAAGGTGATCCAAGATTGTAATCAAGAATAGTTCATTAAACTCGAACGCTGAAGGGAACTTAAATGGAGAGAAAAATAAGGTTACAGTTCAATTTCTAAAACCTTGGTACCGATATTTTGGTGAAAGTCAGCTAAACTGCAACTTGGAATCTAGTCAAAGATTAAAAGGAAGATGGAGCCCACTCAACTATCTAGAGTTTCAAGTTCTAGCTTATAGATCTAGCTGAACCTGAAGCAACAAAAATTGCTGTACTTTTCAATGTCTACAAAAGCTTTTGGAGCTCCCAGTTGTCACCATGATGGTAGAACAAAGCCCACATTCACCCTTCTGCCAGCAACAACTAGAAAGCTGGACAAAATACATGAAACAGCTGTTTTCGGAAATTGGCAATAGGCAGCATGGGACTGTGACCCCCAAGAGAAGAGACACAAGAAGGGGAGCCCTACTATTGTCACAGCTTTGTGCCTGGAGGCACATTCTAGCCACAGAGGAGGGAGGGGGGACCGCAGGCACAGCATATACCAAAAGCGCCTCCAGAAACAATAGAAAGTCTATGTCTATTAAAGAAACAGCTCATAATTAAAAACCTTCCCACAGAGACAACTTCATGAACATGCACCCCTAAATCCTTACCAATATATAAGCAAGTTGAACCTGGCAATGCATTAAAAAGGATACTGCAACACGACCAAGTGGGGTTGATCTCCAGAAGGAAAGGCTGGTTTAACATTTGTAAATCAATAATGTTGCCAAAAATAAATTACTGTAATTCACCATATTAACAAAATAAGGGGAAAAAAGCACATGATCATTTCAACTGTTGTTTTACGTAATTCTTAATGGGGTTTTGGAGAACCCCAATGAAGAGTTTTCTATTGCCAGGAGGTTCTAGGCAGTGGGACTAAAATTAAAAAGGTTTTGCACAGCGGAAGAAACCATCAACAAAACAAAAAGACATCCTACTGAATGGGAGAAGATATTCACCAGTGATACATCAGATAAGGGGTTAATATCCAAAACATATAAAGAACTCATACAACTCAACACCAAAAAACCCAAACAATCCAATTAAACAACAGGCACAGGACCTGAACAGACATTCTCCGAAGAGGACATACAGATGGCCAATAGACATGAAAAGATGCTCAACATCACTAATCATCAGATAAATGCAAATAAAAACCACAATGAGATACTGTTTCACTCCCTTCAGAATGGCTATCATCAATAAATCAACAAACAACAAGTGTTGGCGAGGATGTGGGGAAAAGGGAACCCTGGTGCACTGTTGGTGGGACTGCAGATTGGTGCAGCCACTGTGGAAAACGGTTTGGAGGTTCCTCAAATAAATTGAAAATAGGGCTACTTTATGACCCAGCAATTCCACTCCTGGGTATTTAGCCAAAGAAATCCAATACACTAATTTGAAAAGATATATGCGTCCCTATGTTCACTGAAGCATTATTTATAAGATCCAAGATATGGAAGCAACCCAAGTGCCCACCAATAGAACGACTGGATAAAGAAGAGGTGGTCCATATATACAATGGAATATTACTCGGCCATAAAAAAGAATGAAATCTTAGCATTTGCAACAGCATGGATGGACCTAAAGGGTATTGTGCTGAGTGAAATAAGTCAGACTGAGAAAGGCAAATACCATGTGATCTCATTTATATGTGGAATCTAAAAAACAAAATAAACAAAAAATATGTTTACTAATAGGAGAGCAAGGCTTTTATTGACATATTTTTAAAGTTGTATGAGTCTTCATTCCTAACCTGAGCCTGCATTCTGGATCTGGGAGCTTGGTTGGGCTCATTCTAGCACCACTGTCTCGGACCCTTATTGTGGCCTAGCGAACAACAGGTATGGGAGGTGAGGGTGGATGGGGCTTAGCCCAAGCCTGTCAACACCCATGACACTGGGGCACAAGGGCTCCATCTTTTCAACCTTGGGTCAGGGCTGCTATTCACATTCAAAGGGCATTGTGGCATTAAATACAACTCAGAAAACATTTCATTAGGGGACACAGCAATAGGATAATACAAATGAAAGATTAAGACTCTCTAGTTTGTTTGGGCCTCTTCACCTGGAAACTATGCCATTTACCTAAAAAGGATGGTTTCAAACACCCCACAGGAATCCATAATGAAATTCTGCACCTCTTGAGGGACAAAAATATCAACAACTTACTAAACCTATCGAAAAGGATAAAGAGTCTATTCAAGTATGACTGCTGTAGAATGTCTTTGAGACTCTTTTCTAAAGAGTCCCTCAATTACTTTCCCCCTTAGTTCTTTTTATATCAATTTGTGCACAGACTAGTTCATTTGATTTCGAGATTTCTGACAATTTTACACTGATTTAGCTTACTTGATTTAGCAGTAGGCAGCCTAAAAATAAGTTCATTTTGTTATATTAGCACATCTTTTCTAACAAGCTACATCTCATTCACTTGCGATTTAATTGATAAAGACTGATCATTCATGTTTCTGCTTCTAATGCATTAACGATGTTATTTTAAAATAATTATACACATTTCATGGACAGAGCGGTAGGGCTGTGAGAGGCATGTGAAATGTTCTAAATCAAACCCCTCATTTTCTTTCTTAAAAACCAATACATAGTACAAAAATGATAGAGATTAGACATGAAAATAGGCACTAATCAACATGAAAAGTGGTAGTCAGCTTGAAGATGTTAAAAACACACCCACATTTACCTAGGCATTGGGGAGGAATAAGCCGCCTCGCATCCACAAAAACGCTGCTTATCCCTTCAGAAGCATCAGAATTAATTTTTGTGTGCAACGTTTTTATGCAATTTTTCTAAGATGGATTTCATACTTTGTCTTAACCTGAATGTAACTATCATTTAATTTGAATGTAACCATCATTTAATTTGCTACTGGCTCGGCATCAATGTGAACAGCAAGAAGTGCATGGCACGCAAAGCAGTGAGACGTCTGGCCACCCTCCATGCCTTTTGAGTATGTGTTCACTGTTATTTGTTACCGGTACCAGGGTGCCTACCTCTGAGACCACCCCTCTTACCCCACCATCCCTCTAACTGGCTGCTTTCAGTCAGCTGTGACCTGGCACTCCGATGATGGTTGAGCCCACTCCGCTTGGGGCAGCTGGTCTAAAAGTAAGAGTGGGTTCTAGGGCAGGCCTGAGGACTCTGGGAATTTACTTTGGCTGCTCAGACCTCTCCCTTTCACCCCCTTATGTCTGAAGGTGTGTTTATGCTGAGACCCTTGCTCCTCCAAGTGTGATCTGTGCATTAGCAGCACCGCCTGGGAGCTTGCTAGAAATGCAGGCTCAGGCTCAGTTCCAGACCCATGGATCAAAATCTGCATTTTAATAAGATCTCTAGGGGGTGTGTGTGCTCGTGAAAGTTTGAGCTGTCCTGGTTGAGGGCACAATCCTCTGGAAGGCTGGTGAAACCGTGCTGGGCACCCCCCCCCCACCATGTCAGCAGGTCTGAGGTGGGACCTGAGATTTGCATCTCTAACTAGTTCCCAGGGGAGTCTGAGCCTACTGGCCCCCTCATCTGCACTTGGAGCCATGGTCATTACCGAGCCTCTAAGTCACGTGCACGTCAGAACCACCAGGGGAACTTTGAAAGACTACATGCACCTGTACGCCAGGTTGAGAGCTGTGACTCCTGGTCCTCCAGTGGCCCTCGGGGAGGAGCCTCAGCTGAGGTGGACAGGGCACAGGCAGTGTGGTGGTTCCCAGGGTTGTTCTTTCCCAACGTACACTGCCATGGGTAACAGGCTGGCAGTGAGGAAATGTGACTGGGATTTCATAGACTTTCTGGGATGGAGAAGGCAGATGTCCTTTGAAAAGGCACTAGTGTGGTCATGATAAGGCAGCCAGGAGATTACCCGTGAGCACCATAGCTGTTGGTAGAGTCACACTGGTCACCAGAAGTCTTTCCAGCTGGTCCCCTTCACATGACTGAAGCCACTAAGACCGGAGCTTCAGGCCAACAGGAAGGAAAGAGCCCAGACATGGTTCCTATTCTCTCACTCTCCTTTCCCCCACAACCCCACCTCAACCAGACTGGGCAGCAGAAACTTGGGAAACTGCTCCCTGCAACCCCTCTCCCTGCCACCCCGTGTCTCTTTCTCTCTCCCTCTCTCTCTCTCTGTCTGGCTCTGGCTCTTTCTGATTCCAGGTCCATTTCTCTGGCACGGTCTCCCATCATGAGGTTAAGTCCCCAGACTCGGGTTTGGATGTTGGAGATGGGGGGAAAACAGCGCATGCCTTATGGTCTGCTTTAAACTGAGGCCCTCTGGGCCCAGCTAACTTAGGCAAGGGGGTGGTGTGTGCATGGCCTCCTTGCTTACCAGGGTCCCACGCATTGGGTTTGGAAACTAAGCACCATGTGATGACAAGATAATCTTTAGCTTTCTTTCTGCATGGATCCTCAGCGACCTTGGGGTTGGAGGGGCTGTGGGCTGGGGCAGGGTGTGGACATCCTGGATTCCCTGGTTGAATCCCCTTTTGGTGGCCTTCAGTCCCATCCCCATTTCTATAGTGGGAACGTACATTTCCAGCCCAGCAGGGGACTGTTTCCTTGCACTGACAGCAAGGGAGCAAGAGAGGCAGGATGACTGGGGAGCAGGGCCTTCGTTTGCAAGGCGGGGGGACACGACTGACAAAACCCACTTGCACAAGAAAAGTAATTTTTGGTGTGAAGTTGATTGCTTCTAATTTCCCGCTTCTATTTCTAAATAAATTCGAATCAAAATGGATTATATAACAGAAGGGGTCATATTTTACACATACATACACACATCTTCACTTTGAATGAACAAGAAATGAAAGTTTATCTAATCTTCAACTTTAAGATATGTTTGAATCAGACTATGTAGGTTAGAAATACACTTGAAATCTCTCACCTGTCTTATCATTTGCCAAACACAATCGATGAACTGAAGAAATATTGGGGACCGGTCAGCATCTGCATGGTTGTCATTGCCATGGCCCACTCGCTGAAAAGGAACAGGTTAAACGTTTTAATTTTTGCCATGCTCCTCTCGAAAGTCACTTTACATTGCCTGGTGACAAGAATCATGTCTCACTTGTATGTCTCAAGGCCTAACAGAATCCCTGGCACATAACAGGTACTCAAAAATGTTCCCTGACTTGAACTGACTTCCATTACTCTTAGGAAACAAGTTTTCAGTGTACTCTATTTTTACATGTTGATTGTTTTATAATTTTTCTTTCAGATAGCTGGGATCAAGAGTCATAAGTAAATGGCCAGCAAACTTTTCAGTCCAAATGATCGGGGCAACCCCAGCCACCATGCCAAGTGCACAGTGTCGCTTTGAGACTTCCAATTAGCACCTGGTAAAGCACATTATGACTGACAGTTCTCCACAAGTATAAAAGCAGTTTTTCCCATTGTTCCAAAATGTCAGGAAGTCTAAGAATAAAAATGGTGATTCACAACCTACAAATTTTAAGCAATTCTACATGACTCGGAGAACCCCAAAATCTCACTCTTGAAATGGTAATGGGTAGAGTCCTTGCTCAAGGCAGTCCAATATTGTATTTTTTTCCCAGTTTTGAGTTATAACTGACATCTACAATTGCATTTCATACCTTTTAATATTTTAGAAGATATTCAAAGATTCATACTAAAAGTAAAAGATAATTTAAAACACATGAACAGGACTGATACAAAGCACTGAAAATGTCAAGTTAAAAAACAGCTCAAGAGTGAGCATTTTAAGAGAAGCTTCAAATAATCTGAGGATTCAAATAAACAAAGCAAAAGGAAGAGAAAGAAAACACATTGTGAAGATATAACACAATCACCACACAGAAAGAGTGAGGATACTGGATCTATGAAATTACCACCAGGAAAGACATAAAAACAAGGAAATGACCAAGTCACTGTCAACACCTCAGAGTAACATTATATTGCCTTTTTGAAACAAATTAATTGTGGTGAAATATACATAAAGTGGCCATCTTAACCATTTTAAGTGTCCAGTTCGCTTATATTGAGTATATTCACATTGCTGCACAGCCATCCCCACCATCCATCAGAGAACTTTTTCATCTTCCCAAACTGAAAGTCTGTCCCCATTGAACAATAACTCCCTATCCCTCCTCCCCCGGTCCCTGGTAACCACCATTTTACTTTCTGTCTTTATGAATTTGACTGCTGCTCTAAGGACCTCACATACTCAGAATCACACACTATTTGTCCTTTTGTAACTGGCTTATTTCACTTAGTATAATGTCCTCGAGGTCCATCCATGTTGTCGCAGGTGTCAGAACTCCCTTCCTTTCTTTCTTTTTTTTTTTTTTTCCATACAGTAGCCCATGGCAACCCACTGCCACAGGGAGTGCAGCCTACGCCATCGCCGGCGACTCATGGCAGCCCAGCTCTAGGTTGAGCTGTTGTTCAGCATCTTAGCTGTGGAGGGCAGTGTCACTGGCCCTCATATGTGGGATCCGAACCGGGGCCCTCTGGCATTCCAAGCGAGTTCTTAACCATCGTGCCACTCGGCCGGCCCACAGAACTCCCTTCCTTTTTAAGGCTGAATAATATTCCACTGTATGTAGAGACCATATTTGTTTATCCATTTATCTGTTGATGGACACTTAGGTTGCTTCCACATGTGGGCTATTGTGAATAGTGCTGCTATGAACATGGCTATGCAAATATGTGAGTCTGTTTTCACTTCTTTGGGGTATACACCCAAAAGCAAAATTGCTGGATCACACGGTAATTCCATTTTTAATTTTTTAAAGAACTGCTATACTGTTTTCCATAGCAGCTGTATGTGTTGCATTATTTATGTACTTCCCCTTTGTAAAATATTTGTAAAACCTGCTCTTCAGTACTTAAGCCACCTAGGGAACAGTTTTATACCGACAGTTCACAATTTAGGATTCGGTCTTTCAACAGGCCTTCAGTGAACTCCTACTGTGTATGTAACTCATGCATCTTGCCTGGCCCTTAGGATTCCAGGCATTTTCACAGTGTCTAGTAGTTGCCAGGCCCTTGGCTAGGCACCTGGGGTACCAAGACAAATGAGACACAGTACCTGTGCTTGATGAATAAGTCATTAATGGTCCAGCCGTGGGAGAAAGACCTATAAATAACGAGGGCAGTAAAGTGTCCCTAGGGGTATGGTGGGGCCACAAAGGAGCAAGTGGCCATCTTAAGATGGGGAAGAGAAGAGAACACAAAGGGAAAGTCACACAGGTCAGTCATGGAGGTGGTCTCATTTGAGATAAACCTTGAAGGAAAGAAAGGTGCCTGCTTCCTGGCTAGCCAGGGACATATTGTCCCAGAAGTAGTGAGGGCACCAGAGGTGCCATTAGTACCTGGGCACAGCTGAAGCTCGGAGGATGAAGAAAAGAAAAGGAGGCAAGATGAGCCTGGAAAGGTGGACTAGGGCCACATCACCAAGGGCCGCGAATGCCGAGCTGAGGAGTTTGCCCACAATCCCATGGGCCACGGGAGGCTCTGAGGATTCACACGGGGGAGTGGCAGCCTCACATCTGCTTGGTAAGCTCTATCTGGTTGCAGTTGGGGCAATGGTTTGGAAGGGAATAGGCAACAGAGAGGCTAGTTAAGAGACTGCCATAAGAGTCCCAAGGAAGCTGGCCAGGCCCGAATTAAGGGGCATCAGTGGCAAAGGCGAGGAGATGACAGATTTGAAATACATGTATTTAAAGTCACGGGACTGGCTGAGATCACTCAGGGATTAAGCACACAGAATAGAAATGATCCAATGACTGAGCCCTGGGGCACCCCAACATTAAGAGGTTGGGGAGAGAGGGAGGACCAGAAGGCAGGAGGAAATTCCAAAGACTGTGGAAGCCAAGTGAAGACAGTGTTTCCAAAAGAAGGGAAGAAGCAACAGTGTCAAATGCTCAAGCCAAGTAAGAGAAGGACATGGCGAAGTGGCGGTCATGGGTGACTGTGGCAAGAGCAATTTCGAGGGGGGATTGTTAGGAGCAAGTCTGGCTGAAGTGGTTGCAAGACAGACCGGAAGGTGACAGTGAGCGCACACAATAGCTTTTGCTGAGGGAAGAAGCAATGAAGGAGTTTTTGATACTGGTTAAAATAATAACAGGAGCTACAACTTACCCACACGACTTGGGTCAGGCACTGTCCTACACACCTGATACATATAAACTCATTCCCACCCCACAACACTCCCTTTCAGAGAAGGGAAACCAAGGCACAGAGAGTGAAGGGGGTGTGTCCAAGGATGGGACAACAGCTCCCAAAGGGACGCTGTGGCACTGCCATTCCCTGTCCACCCTGAGAGTGCAGGCACAGTGGGTGCACTCAGCACCCTCACGGCTGAGGCCATTGAAGTCCTCGAATTGCTCATCCTCCTGCTTTCCACAAGCGAGTCTGAATGGGTCTGCAATTCAATGCACGGATCAGACAAAACTCCCAATAGTTCAACAGCCTGGACAGACTAGGAATTAGCAGCCATTTGGACTAAAACACAAACGGCAGCCCATGAATGCCCTACCAGATGGCCCAGCAATCTCATTCCTGGATACACACCCCATAGTGAGAGCAGGCTGTTATGGGCTGAGTTGTGCCCCCCTAAATTTACATGTTAAAGTCCTAACCCCTAGTAATCTCAGGATATGACTGTATGTGGAGGTAGGGCCTTTAAAGAGGTGATTTAAACAGGTGATGAAGTTGAAATGTGGCCATTAGGGTAGGCCCTAATCCAGTCTGACTGGTGTCCTTAAGAAATCCAGACACAGATACAGAGGGAAGACCACGTAAGGACACAGAGAGAAGGCAGTCATCTACAAGCCAGAGAGAGGCCTCAGGAGAAACCCACCCTGCCACAATTTTGGGTTTGGACTTCCAGCCTCCAGAACTATGAGACAAATTTGTGTCGTGGTATTTCATATGGCAAAACTTGTACACCAATGTTCATAGCAGTATTATTCACAATAGCCAACAATCCCAGTGTCTATCAACAGATGAATAAACAAAATGAGTTATATACATACAGTGGAGTACTATTCAGCCATGAAAAAGGATTAAATTGATATACACCACAACATGGATGAAACTTGAAAAAATTACACTTAGTGAAACAAGCCAGCCACAGAAAGACAAATATTGTATGATTCCACTTATACCAGGTAGCTAGAACAGGCCAACTTATTGAGACAGAAAGCGGATTACTGGTTGTCAGGAGCTGGGGGAGGAAGGACTGAAGAGTGGCTGCTTAATGTGTACGGGGTTTCCTTTTAGGGTGATGAATATGTTGTGGAACTAGATAAAGGTGATGGTTGTACAACATTGTGAATGCACTAGCTGCCACTGAACTGTACATTTTAAAATGGTTAATTCTATGTTATATGAATTTAACCTCAACTTAAAAAAAAAAGGCATACCTACCTGAAAAACTAAAATAAAATAGAATAGGAACATACAATGCTGAGGTCCATAGTGTTCTGTTATAGCGATTCAAGCTGGATACACGGCACAAAGCCTGTGCATGTGTGCATGTGTGTGCATGCACATCGTGTGATATGCACATGCATGCGACAGAGCAGAACAGTCAAAGCATGAACCTCACTGTCTCAACTTACCAGTGCAAACCTATGTCCAAAACTGATCCATTCCTTTTCTATGAGAGCCTCGAATCCTTTAATGGTGCGGTAATAACTGTCCAGCATCAGCATAGCCAGAGACGTCAGCTGGGCTGTTCGGTCCCAACCGTCGCTGCAGTGCACCACCACTGAGGTTTTCCCAGATTCTATTTTATCAGCAATTCTTACTGCCCCAGCGAGAAGCATCTTCAGGAAAGAAGGCACATTAGAGCGAGCTTTAATTTCTATGATACCAAAAGTAATTCTCGGGGGAATGTTGAAAGTTCAGGTCAATAAATCAAACAAGAATGCATTCAATTAAGAATCACTAGGAAACAGCATTGTGGGAGGAAAAAAAAACTTATGCTAAGAAAAACTGCAGCAGTAAATAGGGTCCTTTATTAAAGGGGCCACAAAGTACTTTAAAAACCCGATGTGAGGCAAGCATTATTCCTTATGTCACCAAAGCCCCCCAACAAAGACCACAGTCTGGATGCTGCCCACAGAAACTAAGGAAGCCTAAGTACACAGCAAACATGTGCTTATTTGCAATGTTGAGAAACCACTTGGATAGACAGATTTATAGCAGCAACACAGAAATCTTATCCAGAAAGCATGGAAGGCACTGGCCCCCTTTACCCTTATGTACTCCAGCCAATGGGTCCCATCCACATTGGATAGCCACCGTGCCTCATCGATTGAAGGGTACACGATCTCTTTTAATTTGCGTAGTGACTCTCTCATCACATGAATGTTGTGGATCTCCAAAAACACGAGTTCCGCATTTGGGTAAGCACTTTCACTTTCATATCCTCCACCCTTTGCCTGTGAAGACAACAGATAGACATCACTTCATCAGAGTTAACTTCTGTTCTTTCTAGTGTTACCAAATTGAGACCATTAAAGAAGCAACAAACTCATCTATCCATAATAAACCTCCTAAGTCTTTGTATGAGTTTCCTGTGGCCACTGGAACAAAGTACCACAAACTGAGTGGCTTAAAACAACAGAAATGTCTTCTCTCACAGTGCTGGGGGTCGTGCTCCCTCAGAACCTTCTTGGAGGAGGATCCATTTTTGCCTCTTCCAGTTTCTGGATGGCCCCAGGTGTTCCTGGTTTATAGACATATTACTCCAACCTCTGCCTCTTCATCATATGGCCTTTTCCTTATATGTGTCTCTTGTCGTCTTATAAGGACGCTAGTCCAATTGGATCAGGGCCCACCCTAATTCAATATGGCCTCATCATAACTTGATTACATTTGCAAAGACCCTATTTCAAAATAAGGCCACATTCACAGGTACCCGGGTTAAGATTTCAGTATACTTTTTAAATGGAGGCACAATGCACCCATAACAATCCTCCATCACACGTTGTCAGGTTTTAAACCATTAAGGAATGGAACTTACTCAAGGCAAATTAAGTTTAAAAAGTTTTGTCTGTTAGTGCCATTTACCTGAATAAAAAAAAATTATACTATCACAACATTTCTGTATAATAAAATAGTTTGTAAATCCCTAACAATGTGACTTATGCAACTTAAGTAAAATAAAATGCAAATGTAACAAAAAAGGGGGATATGGTTCACCCCTTGGTAAACTCAACAAAATCTGGTATATAATTAGCTTATACTTTGTAGAGATCAACATTCAAAACACATCTGTGATGAGACTGTAGAGAAACTGAAACCCAAATACATTGCAGGTGGGAATGAAAATTGTGCAGTCTGTGGAAAACAGTTTGGTGGTTCCTCGAAAAGTTCAATATAGAATCACCATATGACACAATTCTAGTCCCACAGAATTGAAAACAGGTATTCAGACAAAAACTTGTACATGAATGATCACATCAGCACTATTCCCAACAGTCAAAAGGCAGAAACAACCCAAGGGCCATCCAAGGATGACAAGATAAACAAATTGTGGCCTAACCACATAATGGAATATTTTCCAGCTATACAAAGGAATGAAACAGCCAGGCCATGTGCTACAACATGGATTAACCTTGAAAACATTATGCTAAGTGAAAGATGCGAGGTGCAAAAGACCACATATTGTACGATCCCACTTATATGCAATACCCAAAACAAGGAAATCTATACAGACAGAAAGTAAATGAGTGGTTGCCAGGGGCTGGGGGAGGGGAGAATGGGCCGACGGGCATAGTGTTTCCATTTGGGGCTATGAAAGCATTCTGGAATTAATTAGACAGTGGTGATTGTTGCACAACATTGTAAATATCCTGGAAGTCACAGAATTGTAAACTTTGGGGTGGTTCAAATGGCCAGCGTTTCAGGGCTATAAAGCAAAAGAGACTGAGAAAAGTAGCCAGAGATTGGAAGAAAAAAGAAGGGAAAAAGATGAAGGAAAATAAGAACTGAAAACCACACCTTGGATTTTGTGTCTAGAATGGAAAGTGCTTGGTGACTTTCCCAAGGACAGTCTGAGGAGATAGCTTCAAGGGTGAGCGAGTGGCAGTGAGCACTAGCGGGTACCAAGGAGACAGCTCCTCAAAAGGGCAGGGGAAGGTGCTAGCTGGAAGGGGACAGTGCTGATGATTCGACAGAGGTTTGATTTGTATAGACAGGGAAAACTTCATGGGAAGGAGGCAGTGGAGGGGAAAGGTCAAGGATCCCAGAGAGGAAACAGGGATGGTTGAGCAGGCAGAGGAGGTGAGGGGTGCAGGCAGGGCACAGGGAGGAGGCCACCCCTTCCACCTTAACAAGAGGCAGGAGGCCCCCATTGACAGCAATACCAACTATTCCCAGGTGTGGTGGCAAGAGCAGAGGGAGTTCCTGTGTGAGGGTTGGTTTGTTCTCTGTGAAGGAAGCAATGTTAGCTGTTGATGATGAAGGGGCTGGAACAGGGTCACACATTAAAGAGAAACCATCGAGAACCATATGACTTCACTGATATGTGGGATATAAAACTGAAAGCAACAAAGGAACAAGACAAACAAATGAAGAAACAAAACTCAGACACAGACAATATTTTAGTGGTTACCAGCGGGTAAGCGGGGAGGGGTGGTAGATGAGGGTCAAAGGGGTCAAATACGTGGTGATGGAAGGAGAACTGACTCTGGGTGGTAAACACGCAATGTGATGTATAGATGATGTATACAGAATTGTACACCTGAAACCTATGTCACTTTACTAACCACTGTCACCCCAATAAACTTTAATTAAATTAAAAAAGAAAGAAAAGAATCACTGAGGGGCTAAAACGGCCCCCGGCAAGGCTGGGGGGAGGCTGAGTTGAGTCTGGAGACCATGAATCTGGAGTGACTCCGACCTGCACCATGTGATCCTTTTGTCTTCCTGGGACACTCAGCAGCCCAGGTTGTGGGCACGAGAAAGGCAGGCAGAAGGGAGCTGAGCCAGGCAAGGGTGTCGACAGGCTAATGAGCCAAGGCGCTGGCTGGAGGACCACGGAGGGACAGCGTCAGGAGGCCAGGCTGGGCAGGAGCATACAAATACAGCTGGGGCTGAGATGGGGCCAGGAGGGGTTTGGGACTTGGGTGGGGGTGCGTCCACTGAGGACAAGCTGCAGAGCGACCTGCAGGAGAGGCTGAGGTCTGAGAGGGCAGTTTGCATCTGAGAATTCAGAAAGAAAGCAGTTCTGGGCAAGACCAGAGCCTGCATGCGGCCGAAAGCCCCTTCACCTGGATGTAGGTGCAGCTGCTGAGTTTCTGATCAAGTCTGCAAGTGGCAAACGTGACTGACAGGAAAACAACAGAACTTTGCATATGTGGATGCCAGCTTATATTCCAAGTTATTCCACCGAATTATATAAGACAACTTAACTTCAAGAAAATACTTTGGGAATACCAACTATGGACAAAGCAGTTCAGAGCACGGTCCTGCCTCCATGGAGTAGTTATAGCTTTCATCCAAAACTAAACCTAAGCACCCACTGAAGACGCTGCTAAGGCCGGGACAGCACAGTGTCATGCTTAAAGGCCCAGGCCTGGGTGGCAGGGAGAGTGGGTTTGTAATCCCAGCTCTGCCACCCAAATGCCACTTCAGCTTTCTTACCTGTAAAAACTTGAAAGGGTCACTGTGGAGTTTAACTGCTAGTTAAATTAATAAAATAAAATAAATTCTCTTAAAGCTAATCCATGCAAAGCTTGGTGCCTTCCTGCCACCCCCCCAAAGACAGTCCAGCACCATTATATTATTAGCTCATGAGCACCTACCAGGTCGGAAGCTGAGAGGTAGCAGAGGAATGAGTCCCAGGCCCTGCCTGACGGGAGCACGGAGGCAGAAAGAGGCTCTGAGGGAGATTCTGCGGAGCCTCATGTAGACAGGCTCTTCAGCACAGGAGGAAGCCCATGGCAAGCATTGGTTTTAACCAGGAGAATGTATTTAAGGACAATTTGTTGCCTGGAAACCAATTACTAAGGATCCAAATAAGACAAACAACAATCAGAAAACGGGGTTATGGAGGAAAAAGAGCATGTGTGCCTGCTCCAAGCCAGGATGCAGAGAACAGGCATCTCAAGGTCTTGAGGCAGAAGAAGGGGAAGGAGGGTGAGAAGCAGACCCACCTTTCCCCCAGCATTTACCCCAGTCTAGGAGACAAGAACTTCATAGGCAGACCTCTCTCTATGGGGGCAAAGCAGGATTCCAGAAAGAAGCTAGTGACATTGAGCCACCAGCCCCCAAGTCTGCAAGAGTATGTGGATACCAATGGTGACAGGGCAATCCCCAACCCTCTTAGGAAAAAGAAACCCAAATACCAGCAGCCACCTGAAGGATGGGCTCAGGTTGCCTCAATTTCAAACCAGCTGTTCAGGGCTCGTTGAAGGCCTGCCACACTCTCTGCCCATCAGCACGCTAATCCTTGGCAGGAGGGAGGGCTCCCAGGTGAGAAAGCTGAAGCCTCCAAGAGGGCTGACCACTTCCGGAGGCCAAAGGCACAAAGCGGCAGGGCAGGATTCCCACGCCCCCAGACTCTGAAATCCACACATGGCTCTGTTACGGACAACACAGATCTGTGCCCGCCAAATTCAAATGTTGAAATCCTAATCCACAAGGCGATGGTATTAGGAGGTGGGGCCTTTGGGAGGGGATTAGGTGATGAGGGCAGAGCCCTCATGATGGTATTAGAGAGCTTGCCTCTTTCTGCTCTCAGCTGTGTGAGGACACAGCAAGAAGGCGGCTGTCTACAAGCCAGGAAGCAAGCCTTCACCAGACACCGGATTTGCTGACCCTGAGCTTGAACTTCCAGCCTCTTGAGAGAAATAAATGTTTGGTGCTTATAAGCCACTGAGTCTGTTGTATTTTGTTACAGCAGCTGGAGCTAAGACAGCCCCTCCCTCACAGTCTGCCCCCTGGGCACTCCTTCTCTCCTGGCATCTAGGACCCCTCCCTCCTTCTGCGGGGTCTCCTCCCAACAGTTGGACCACTCCTTCCTTCACAGGGAGTCCCTCTCTTGCCCCCCGTAGACGACCTGAGGGTTTGCTACTTGGCCCCTGCTCACAAGACTACGAGTCCTTCCATATTAAGGAGATTCCCTCCTGCTCCCCACCCCCCCACACACAAAGGCTGCAACCATCGCCCAACAGGCCGCTGGGCCCCAATCTCAAACTCAACCTGACCACTTTCTGAGCTTTATCTTCCCCACACAAGCTCCTCAAATGCAACAGCTTAAAACTAAATTCCGTCCATCCACGTTCACTTTCTGCAAAAGAAATGTGACTTGAGAAAACTTGGGTGCTGTAACACCGCCTCCATAATGGTGTCTACACTTTTGAATTAATATACAATGCCACTCACCATTAGGTCCTCTAAATGGCAACTACCCACTGAGAGAGAGATGACCTGACCTGACCTGCCAGCCAGCCAGACCTTCCTTCCACAGTCTGTGGAGCAGCTACGATGTGATGGCCCAGTTCTGGGGACCCAGGTATACTCAAGATCCTCACAGTCCCTGCTACCATGGAGCCAAAGGCTGAGTGGCGAAACACAGGCTGAATGAGGTATCAGAAATATGCTGAGGGTAATCAAAAGGGAAGTGCAGAGAGCCATAGCACAGGAAGGCCTCCGCCCATGTGGAAAGACCTCCCTGAGGAAGTGACATTTGAAGTATCATCTGAAGGATGGGAGAATGGTTAGCTATGGGGACATAGGCTTGGAGATGACAATGAGACATGCTTAAGGAACTGAAGGGAGCCTCCCACAGCTGAGACATGCACCTGAGAGATGCAACGAGACAGGAAGGGAAGGGCCAGTGCGTGGGGGGCTTTAGAGGCCCTGTTCAGGAATTGTATGTCAGTGCATCAGGGCGCTGAGGGTGTGCACAGAGCTGTACATTTAGATTACTCTGGCCATGATGTGGAGACTAGATTAAAGGGAACCTCTACAAAACACCAGCCAACTGAATCCAGCATCATATTAAGGGAGATTATACACCATGGCCAAGTGGGATTTATCCCAGTAACGCAGCAGATTCTGTGCGTTTCCTAAGGCTACGGTAACAAAGTACCACAAAGTAGGGGGCTTAAAACAGCATAGATTTATTCCCTCACAGTTCTGGAGGCTAGAAGTCTAAGATCAAGATGTTGGCAGGGTTAGTTCCTTCTGGAGGCCATGAGGGAGAACTTGTTCATGCCTCATTCCTGGCTTCTGGTGGATTCTGGAAATCCTTGGCACTGTTTGGCATGTAGCTGCCTCATTGCTGTCTCTGCCTCCACTGTCACATGGCCATCTTTCAAGGATATCAATCATTGGCTTATGGGTCTGCCCTAATCCAGTATGACCTCCTCTTAACTAATTACATCTGCGAAGACCCCATTTCTGAATAAAATCACATCCTGAGGCTGCACATGGACATGGATTTTGGAGGGGTGCTATTCAACCCACTACAGTGGTCAACATACAAAAATCAGTCAGTGTAACAGATCACATTAACAGAATGAAAAAGAAAAAAAAACACATGATCATCTCAAGTGATACAGAAAAGGCCTTTGGAAATCCAATACGCTTTCATGATAAAAATCACTCAACCAACTAATAATAGAAGAGAATTTCCTTAACCTGTAAAGGGCATGTACGAAAAACCCACAGCTAATGTACTGAATGGTGAAAAGCTGAAAGCTTTCAACCTAAGATCAGGAACAAGACAAGGATGCCCACTTTCACCACTTCTGTTCAACGATGTACTAGTGGTTCTCGCCAGGGAATTAGGCAAGAAGACATAAAGGCATCCATATTGGAAAGGAAGAAGCAAAACTATCTCTACTTGCAGATGACATGATATTATCTAGAAGAGCTAGTGGGGACGTGGACAGATTAATATCTTTCTCTGGTTCCTAGACCGCTACAGGTAAAGTCATTCCAGGCATGCAATTTGGTGTCCTTCTTCTGCAATGGATAAAACACAGTGAACTGCCCCTGCTCAGCTGGATGTTTACAAGATCACCTCTGTGACGATAGCTTTTCTCATGTGTTTTACTTCATTGGGATAGTACTACAGTGGTGACAGAAAGTAAGCAGAGACAAAGAAGACTGACAAGGGTTAATGATTCACCAGATGTGTAGAGCAAGGGGCACTGACTAATTAAGGACTACTCCCCATGACAGGCCAAAACATGCCCCCCCCCAGATAGCCACATCAAATCCCTGGCCACTATGAACATGGCCTTTTTTGGGAAAAGGGTCTTCCCAGATGTGATTATGTTAAAGATCTTGGGATGAGGAGATAATCCTGGATTATCTTGGGTGGGCCTTAAATGCTATCACAAGTATCCTTAGAAGAGAGGAGGAGAGGCTCCAGAGACACAGAGGGGAGAAGGCCATGTGAAGACAGAGGCCGAGCCACCAGCATCTGGCAGAGGCAATGGACAACTGTCCCCTGAAGCCCTTGGAGGGAGCACAGCCCTGCCAGGTTTCAGATTCCTGGCCGCCAGAGATGTGAGAGAATAAATCTGTGTTGTGTTAAAGCACCAAATGTGTGGTGATTTGTACAGCTGCCTCAGGAAACTCATACCCTGCGCCTCTTCCTCCCTGTCCTGCCCCTCTCCCAGTCTTGCCCATCTCAGAAACCAACATCATTCACCCCTCAGGCCAGACACCTGGGGGCGAGCTCGTCAGCATCAGGGACTGAGTTCTGAGCACCGTGCTGAGTCAGTCCATCATGTGCATTCTTCTCACTTAATTTTGATCCTTACGCGCGGCTCTCTACATGAGATACTGTTATCTCCCAGTTTACAGAAGAGGAACCTGAGGTTTATGGAGAGCTGAGGTAGCTGGCTCAGGGTTCTACACAGTACTGACTGGCAGAATCTGGAGGAAAACCCAGGGGCAATTGCTTGCCAAGCCAAGGGTTCTTACCACCCTGCCTCTCAGGCCAGTTTGGATACACTAGGTTGTTATCTGGGAGACAGCCAAGTGGAGTTGTCAACTGGACAACAGAATGGAAATTCTATCTTGACCTCAGGAAGGATCAGGTGGGATAGAAACTTGGGTGTCAAACTCAACATATAGGGAGTGTTTAAACTCATGGCATGGGAGGAGATGGCCCAGGGAGATTGCACAAAGTAGAAAAAAGGACCCAAGGTTGAGTTTGAAGAGCTCTGCCATTTGTAGGATGGGAAGAGGAATTGGAACCAGTGAAGGTGACTGGGGAGAGAGAAATCCTGAGGGTGAGATGCCATGAAAGTGAAGAGAATTGAGTGGTCCACTCTGAGGTCAGTAACAATGACAGCTAACTTGAACCGAATGCTTTCTCAGGGAGGGGCACTGTCCTAGGTCCTTTCCAGTAATCACACATCCACTCCAGGAAGTAGGTTTACTGGCATGGCTATTTTAGAGACAAGACGATCATGGGCTAGAGATGAAGTAACTGCCCTGGGTCATGTAGCAAATAACGAGGTTCCTTGTACGCTCTCAAAGCATGCTTTATGGTCCCCCATGCCCCAGAGTATAATCAAGTGGCAGTTTGTGCGACTGCTTGTTTAATATGTACCTGTCCCCAATTCCTAGCAAGTGCCAGGCCCACAGCAAGCACTCAAGCCCTGAGGGAAAATGGCGTCTCTGATGGCTTCTTTGCTCCTTGAAGTAGAAGGTGATGGCTTCTCTTGAGAGTGAGTTGGGGGAGGTAGGAGGGTAGCTTTCTGGAGATTGTGGTCGATGGAATAATCACTGAGGAAAGAAGAGGCTCAAGCTGCCCAGAGAAACAAAGACACCTCCCCCCGCCCCCGAGCACTGCTGAGGACATGGTGGGGGTGACCACACCCTCAGACACCTCCCTCTTGTCACTGTTGTCAATGACGTGCTCTGGCACACTGTTGGACAGGTACTCATGCTCTCTAGAATGTGCTGCCTGTTTCTTCCTGCTAACCACCCAAAGCCAGCTTGAATGGTGCCTCCTTCAGGAAGCCTTACCCAGCTTCACAAGCCAGGCTGGCCAGTCCCTCTCCTGGCTCCCTCAGCACACTGACACCTGTATATATTATAGTACCTCACCTGGTCTGTTGTGATATTTCCCCTAGTAGGTGTTCAGTACATGTTTGTTACCCAGATGGCAATTCTCAAGTAGGCATGAGATGGCAAAGGCTGTCACCACCTTCCTGATACCTGAAATTACTTGTGAGAGAGCCAAGCCCTCTGATGGCTAAATGCCTGCCTGTAGTAACACACTGCTGGAAAGTCAGTCAGGGGAAATAGAAATGACTCCGTTCAGGGCCTTTCCTATTTGGATAGCGGGTTCTGGAGGCTCAACGACACAACTGTCACTAGGTACGAAGGATCCTGTCCCCTTCAGCTAGTGGGGATCAAATGGGGTGGTCTGCAGATGCCACTGCTCCATGTGATTTATGGAGACTGTGTATTTGTCTACCTTCACATGGTTGACTCCATTCTAACAGCTTCAGACCAGATATGAATTAATCAAGCAATCACCGTATTTCACAGGTTACAGGGACCTCCAAGGGCCTCATGGTCATTTAATTAAAATACTTAACTGATTCTTTAGGTGATAATTCTCTTTCTGGATCATTGCTTAATTAATTCAGCAGACGGGATTGTGGAGGAGCAATGTGGAAGACAAGACTCCAACCCACATGAGACACCCACAGGCGATATCCCAGAGAGGGATAACTATGGGCTACTCGGAAAGACTCCACCTTCAGGTGGGGAAGAAGTCAACAGGCTCTTTGAACTGCATCATGATTTACAGACCGTACATAAGACAAGACCCACTGGTTCTGCAATGTCATCGAGAATGTACCTTGTTGGTATCGGCGACACTGTTTTGCCGGGCATCGAAGATGATAAGTTTGTGAGACTGTGCATTAGCATCCATTATTGTCTGCAAGTATTTTTCATCTTCTTTGCATCGTTTGTCATTGGGACCCACAAGTGGCTGGCTGCAACGAGTGATCGTTGCCTGACTTTCTGGATGAATCCATGACAACACCTAGTGTTTGTAAGCAACAGATACGAGTTCAGTTCCTAAAACAGTATATATTCTAATTACCAGGTAGTAAAAACAAGTTTTCTTCTCAAACACAGCTGCTTCTGCATATTTTCCTCCAAAATGAGGGGTCAGGTCAATCACAGCCTGATAGTGGCCATGGGACTCAATGTTTGGGTCAGTTTGAAAGAAGTCTGAGTAGATGAGCTCTAAAAATCCCCTTCTACCTCTAAACTCTGATTCTCAAAAAAACAGAAAGTAAGTCAAAGGGTTACTAACATTGAACCCCATTCCAATTTGATTGACTAGTTTGATTTTGTCTCCTAATTTAAAAACAGCTTTGTATCTTAACAATGTGGCTGGGTGAGGACAAAGTGAATATACATTCTCTTACACAAAATCTAAAGCTATGTCCCCAAACCTCCCGTTTTCCTCCAGTAACCAAGAGACTCAGGATTGTCCCAGACTACAAACTCTGAGCTCAATAACATTCCCTCCCTCCTGGGTTGTGGTGATAGTATCACGGGGGTATGCATGTGTCCAAACTCATCATACTGTATAAACATGTGCAGTGTTGCTATATATCAATTAAACTTCAATAAAGCTGTTTTAAAAACCCACCCTAATTTTCCTAATGGGGTCCCTCCCATGCAGCTCCAGCCTTGCACTCACTCGGCATTTAAGGACATGTCTTTTCTCTAGGATGAGATGGTGAAACCAGTGATGCAAACCATTAACACAGCAGCACGCTAACTCCTTGTTGCTTCACCTTCATTATTCCCTGCTACTGCATTTTGAGCGCATAGCTGAAGTTACCCTTGTACTTAGTAATGTGAAGTCATACAAAGCAGAGTCAGCAAAGGGGATGTTTATATAATTAGGTGCTTCTTGACAATCAAAGATATGCTCAGGTTTTGGTGCTTATTTTCCTACTTTCCACTTTGTTCACTGGATTTTTTTTTCTGTCTTCTTTCCATATTAGATCTAATACGGTGAACATTCATACCTAAATGACAGTGTTTGTTACTTACGGGAACTCTGCCTTTTGCTCGAAAGGCTGCCACTTTTGAAAGGTCATCGTCTTTTACACTAGTTGGCACAACGATGATGGCAGGGTAGGTGTCACAGAGCTCATAATTACTGTTGACTTTGGATATTTTCCAACTCTCATTTGGCAAGCCCTGCAGCGTTAGAGAAGAAAGAAGGGGGCTGGGAAGCATACTTTTACACTTTCAAAAAGTACTAAGCGTCAACCACATCCATTTCTTATATTCTACTAACATCCGTTTATAATTTGTTCAGTGCTAGTTAAAAGTTTAAAGATATATTTACCCACTATAACCCACTTCCTACCCATTTAAAAAAATCTAACTAAGCATAAGAATTTCCAGACATACAAAAATGAAAATTACATACTAGAATCCCAGTCGTATGCATTTCTTAATCATGTGTTCTATAATGAATGAGCACAGTGTTGTTTTTGAAAATACGCATGAAAGCCCTTTAGAGACACAGAAGCTTCTTACAAATGTCTAAAATACGTAATATAAATCACCACACCAAATACAAGGTAGAGACAAAGACTAAACGTCATGAAAATAATCTTACTGGAGTATCCTGACACTGACAATGCACTTAAGAGCTTCTGGTAGAGAAACACCATAACAGACTGATGTAGTCATGCCATATACTTAAAATAAATTTAAGCCCTTGGTTTTGATCCTTACTCATCAACTCATTACCACAATATCTAATAAAAACCATCTGGTCAATTTGCTTTTTAAACCCTAGTTCTTGTCTCTGGCAAAAGGACGAACAAACAGTGGTGTAGTCAAAGATTTGGCATGGGGAGCATGGGGCATCAGAACCTACAAGCCAGGTGAGTTATACCTACGCACAGCTTGTTTCCAAGTGTTTCTTCTCCACCATATTTCAAACCTTTTAGAAAATAAAAAAGATGTTCAACCTATTATTTTCAGCTTGATAAGCAACATACTTTACCTGTCTCTTATATTCAGCTACTGGATCATAAACTTTCCATCCATTAATCGGAAATTTTTCTTTATAGTTGTATGCAAAGAGCATCTGAATACAAAAATCACAGAATACATATGTCAGTATTTCCTTGCTGTGTCATACACAATACTGAAGCTTTTCATTCAGTTATGAACTGAATGTAGTAAGATTCCTATTTTAATCTGTCATTTTTAAAGCAACAAATTGACAGTTGTCTTAATCATTACACAGAACTGACAAATTTTAAATATTTTTATATGAGTTCCCAACAGAGAGAAAAGAGAAAAAAGGAAACCACTGGAAAAAGAAAGAATTAAATGTGAAATTTTTGGACCCCACAAAGGCATGCAAAAAAGGTTTATTTTGGTGTACCTACCTGCCCATTGGAAAGAGGAAATGCATGTTTGTTGAGGTTTTCAAATATCCCCAGTTTACTCTGTTCTTCCTGTTTATAAGCAAGTCGCAAGTTCCTCATATCCTGTTAAACAATTAGCAGGACTCATTTATTCAATGTGTACTGAGTACCTATGAGGTAGACAGCATGCTACAAAGAGATCAATGAAATATTTGCAAAGACTATACATACATCTTACATGCATAGGGTTTCTGTGGGAACTGGTAACTGTGGGTGCTTACAGGGAGTACCACAGGGTCTACTTACTTTTTCCTACAAACAGTTTTTGTACCTTTTAAAGTGTATACTGCGTGTTTCAAAAAACAAACCCCACACCTTGCAAGGCTCTCAGGCATGAGCTGAGAAGGCTTGGAGTACTGCCCTACTAATGCTAGGCTGGAAAACATTTTAAAGGAGCTATTAGAACTGCTCACCCCAGCCCTAAAAATATCTTAGTAAAACAGCCATAGGACACCTGCCTAAGTGACATAACTTCCTGGTGTGCCCTCCCTCCAAGCTACACTGGCTACACACCTACACCCTCAGGGCTGACTGAGCTGAATTGCTATTTAGGATTGCTGGGGAGATTAAAACGTTGCAAGCAAAGGAAAGAGCATGTGTGAAGATCTCAGAGTGTGTGTGTGTGTGGGGGGGGCAGGGCGGATGCGATTGTGAGCAATGAAAGGAACTGGGATGGCAAGAATGAGGGGAGGGTGGCTGGAGATGAAGCTGCAGAGGAAAGTAAGTGACACTCAGACCCACGGGGTCTTGATCAGTTTTCCCTCTAGATTAAGGACGGTGGGAAGCTACTGAAAGAGCTCTGACTAGGGAGATGACATGTTTCAAAATTGCAGGACTGATTAAGTCACCCCGCCAGCTGAAGTTCTGCAGCTGCTTCACATGGTGCCAAATGTGGAACCCTGGTTGAGGACACGTTCACCTTATCAAAGGCCAGCATGGCCACGTAGTGCTCCAAGCAAGCCTAGTGAGTTGGAGATTTGTGACCAGGAAGAGGAAAGGCTTCTTTGAAAAAGGGGGATTCAACTGTAATCGAGGGCCAGCCACAGGGAGCTGTCCTCAAGAGATGTGACCAAAGCAAGCAGGTGGGCAGGAATCCAAACCCCATGTCTGGAAGGAACCCCAGTGATTCTGCAGGCAGGACCTGTTTCCCAGCACTTCAGGCATGGTTGTTGACAGAGTGTATTTCCAATAAAAACAGCAGTTAAGGTGTTTCTTAAGTGACTAGTTATCACTAAAGTTATCACACACATTTCTACTTAACCTGTTGGAGGAAAGGTCCAAAACCAAAAAAGGAGCACGGCTTAGCTGAAAATTCCAATACAGCTAAGAAACTTAACTGTGTTTCCCCCCCACCTTTTTTCTTTTTCTTTTTTTTAAATTAGTTTCAGGTGTACAGCACAGTGCAATAGTTATACTTTTTACCCCTCAAAGTGACAACCCCCTCCCCCATCCACTGCCCCACTCCCCCCATATCATACATATCTATTACAATTCCCTTGACTCCACTCCCACACTATACCCCACATCCCGTGACTATGTATATATATTCAATTATAGTTGACATACAGTATTATACAACATCAGCTTCAGGTGTACAGTGCAGTGATCAAGCCTTTTTAATCACAGAATTTACGAATGTAGTTGACCCTTGTACAACATGAGTTTGAACTGTGTGGGTCCACTTTATACACAGATTTTTTTCAATAAATATTGTCAATGTATTTTCACTTCCTTATGAATTTCTTAACATTTTCTTTCTCTAAGCTTACTTTATCATAAGGATACAGTATATAACACATATAACATATAAAATACGTGTTAATCAACAGTTACCAGCAAGGTTTCTTGTCAGCAGGAAGCTATCAGTAGTTAAGTTTGGGGGGAGTCAAAAGTTACATGTGGGGTGAAGAGATTAAGAAGTACAAGTTGGTAGTTATGAAACAGTCACAGGGATGTAGAGTAAAGCACAGGGAATATAGTCAATAATGTGGGAACAACTCTGTATAGTGCCAGATGGGTGGGGACTAGACTAATCGAGGGGATCACTTTGTAAATTATATGTCTAACTACTATGAAGTTCAATTGAAACTAATGTAAAATAATATTGAATGTCAATTGTAATTTTAAACAGCAAAATAAAAATATTAATATGGGTTTACACAAAGTTATACGTGGATTTTCAGCTGTGCAGGCCGGTTGGGTGATGCCCCCAAGCCTCACAGTGTTCAGGGGTCACTGCATTGTCCCTTTAGGAAGTCTTTGACCATCCACTGTTCTGAAGATTAGCCTTAAAACAACAAACTGGAAAAAAATATGGATCTCTGCTTTCCACTTGACTTTTCTGAAATGTAACAAATAATGTCAGCATGTAGGTTATAGCTCTATGCTAATTAGAATGCTTCAATAGAAAAGAAGAGGTTTACTTCAATGGCTTACATAAAGGTATGAATTGGTTGACATAAGATTTGAAGAGGTCTCTGTCCTGAAAACATCTGAGTCACTAACAACACAAATTACTCTGACTGTTCAAAGACCAGGAAAAACGCTTCAGGGAAAGTTCCCGGCTGGCTGCCTCTTTCATTTTAATGGTGTTGGTACCATACCTTGCACACGATCTCTATACCACAAGAATTGTCCCCGTGGCTCTGCACCCCAATCTTCTCAACTCTGCTGATCACTCCCAGGGGAACATCAAGGATGAAATGTGGGTCCTGAGTTCACAAATTAAGATGAATGCCTATTAGTGTCAGTCAACAGTTTTCATGTTTTAAGTCTTCACCGGCTTAAAACACATTTGTTTACTTCGCATTTCCTCTTTGTCCCAACTAAGACACTGAAGCCTGATTCATAACATGCCTTCTGAAGATGGTGAGACTACAATTAAACTTCCCCTCCCGGTATAAGTGCTACTTTAATGGCCTTTGTTTTTCAAGATACAAAATCTGTTTGCAAATGTGCACTTTTTACGACTCACCCTCTGGTTCTCTCAGGGGATGACATTTCAGGTTACTTCTTACTTTCTTCTTTAGTGTTCACTTGCTTCTGAAGTGTTTTTAAAAATAACACACACTTTTAAAAACTCACCCTCTCTACATTTTTGAAGTACATCTTAAAGTCCGTCACCGTCAGTGTTCCACTCACAGCTCCCATAAATGGGCAGATATACATGACATCTTTCACTGAAAGAAAAAAGTCAAAGGAGCAACTGCTGCCATAGGCTTGTGCTTCAATAAATCTTAATACGAGTTTCCAAATATATTTTATATATACAGAGGGTGCCAAAAAATGTATACACATCTTAAGGAAGGAATAAACTGTATTAAAATTGTAATACTCAATATATACCGATAACAAAAGATGAATACAAGTCATATATATATATATATATATATATATATATATATATTTGACGGTGGTGCCAAAGAAATGTATACAAGAGGACATTTTGGTCAGTGTTGCTCAAGCAGTACTTCACCATCATCAGAAATGTCTGGACACTGATGGCAACCACTTTAAGCACCTTTTGTCATTGCAGAAGTCAAACGTGACTTGTATTCATCTTTTGTTATCGGTATATATTAAGTATTATACTTTTAGTACAGTTTTCCTTTCTTAAAATGTGTATACTTTTTTTGGCACTCTGTGTGTGTGTGTGTGTGTGTGTATGTATTTGTGATTCCAGTTTTCTAGGAATTTTAAATATGTTATTACTTTAAATAAAGATATAGATGGACACTCTTCTAATAAAACTCCATTTTTTAAAACAAAATTCTAATTTGCTACTTAACGAGGTTTTAAGTAAAGGGCCTCATAATTAGCTACATTTTGTCATTTTTTTTCCAGGTGGTTAGCTTTTTCCCTGAGTGATAAATTAATCACATCACAAACATATTAACTAAACTCTGAAGACCCTGAGCTACCACTTAATAAATTACTGCTAATGAAAACTAACTAAAGCTAAAAACTGCCCCCTAACGCGCCTCCAAAGGCAACTTTTTACAGATGACAAAAACTAGAACCACATCAAAGGAGTGGAAAGAGACTGCTTCAATTTCCTTATCACCTTCCATATCAATTTTTATTTTCTTCTTGTGAATATTGATATCAGCATATGTAATATCATATCAATGACATACTGGACTCCTGAGTGGTAAGAAGCTCATGCTTATCACAAAGATACCACACCTTGATGATCTTCCCAAAGTGTCATTCCATTGGAACGTACATAGCTACACAGGAGTCCAAGTGGAACAATTAAAGGTACTAAAGTTGTCATCTGGCCAAACACTTCCACTACATTTTTCTAGAAGTCATTATGTACTAAGTGGCTTCTTTAATGGGGTTCTAGGTACGACTAGACACAGTTCCTGTCCACAAGCCGTGACCTGTGAGCGACACTACACAGAAAATCAGCATTATACTACAGCCTGATAAACGCTATCATAGCCATGTGGACAGGATGTGATAAGAGCTTAGAAAAGGATCAACTTAACTCAGCAGGTAAGCAGGGGGCCGGAGGAGGAGAAGGTGGAGGCAGAAGGGAGGAAGGAGAGCAGCCAGTTGTTGGAGGTTAGTGTGGCTGGATCAAAGAGCGCATGAGGAAGATGGGACACGAGGCCAGAGAAGACTTGTTCATGAATGTCCATTATTTCTAATAGCCAAATGGTATAAACAACCTAAATGTCCATCAATAGATGAATGGATAAAAAACTGTGGTGCATCCATACAATGGAATACTATTCAGTGATAAAAAGAAATGACTATTGACCCAAGCCACAGTACGGATGAGTATCAACGTAATTACCATATATTGCCGTGTATGATGAACACTCTTTTGCCCAAATTTGTGAGGGAAAAATAAGGATGCGCACTATACATGGGTAGTACTAACTCCATATCTATATAAATGTTTTTAATTCTTTTATTTATGCTTATGAGTTGAAAGTATACCTCTAGAAATCAATAACGACATCTGTATGCAAAATAACACCCTGGAATACGATCTTACGATGAACTTGCAATGACGAAGAGTTCTTGGCCTTCTATGATGCATAAATATCATAAATTTGTTGCCAGTACATAAAACTTCTTGTACCTTATATCTGCTCTTGTATTTTGCTTACAATTATTTGTTACATAAAATTTCTTGTACCATAGTATGTTAAAATATAAATGCTAAAATTCCTTTATAAAACAAAAAACAAGTACCTCAATGTAAGCAAATAAAAATGTGAAGTAAAACATTAAAATGGAAAATTTTTTCCCTGAAAGTTTGGGCCCAAAACGTGGGTGCACATTATACATGGGAGCACATTCTACACGGCAAAATATGGTGTGCTGAGTGGAAGAAGCTAGACAAGAAAAAGAATATACTCAATGATTACATTTCTAGGAAACTCTAGAAAATATAATCTAGTCTACAGTGCTTGGGGGTGGGGAAAAGGTATAGAAGGGAGGGTTTATACAGGGGCCTAAGGAAACTTCTGGGAGATGATGGATATGTTCGTTATCTTGACTGCGATGATAGTTTCCCAGGCGTATAATGTGTCAAAACTCTTCACATTCACTTTAAACCTGTGTAGTTTGCTGTCAGAAGCAGCAGCAGAGGCATGACATAATTAGCTCTGCGTTTTAAACAGATCATTCTCAAAGCAGCATGGAGGCAGGGCCAGAAGAACGCCCAGAGGCAGAACAGCAAGAGAAGTGCCGGAAGGCAAGGAGACAGAGTTTCAAAACCAAGCACAGGAGAAGCAGGGTCCAGAGCCACAGACAAGGGTATTCGGTGGGGCTGGCTGTGTGCAGGCTCTGGTAGGAGAGTGCAACTACTCAAATGTTCTTGACACAAGATGGCCGTACTCTGAAACCGAGCACACATCCTTGGAAGGGAGCCATGAAGGAAGAAGGTAACACTCAGCCTAGCAAAACAGGCTGTCCCACCCAACCCAGCAATTGTGAGGGGCAAAGGTCGTACCCAGCCGCACTCCCATCTACCCAGGGCACATTGGACTATCTGCTGAAACGCCAGCTAGTCCACCGAGGGGCGATGTGGGAGCCGTCATGCCATCACCCTTACAATCCAGGGTGGCAACACATGCCCTTTTCTTGCACTAAAATTCTACTTTCTTGATCCATTTTCCTTATAGTGAAGGATTACAACAAAGCAGTGAACTGACATTACAGTGAATGTCTGATCAGCCTTCAGTTCATCAGGAAAAGTTGGGCCCCTCTTCTGTCGGTAATGCCAGCTGATTCTCAATCAGAGTTTAAAGTGATCCTCTATAGTCTTCTATCTCTTAAGGTCACAAGGACGTTAATGAGAATGAAGAGATTTGGTCCATTTGTCCCCTAATTAAATGAGTCTGGCTGATCTTTAGCACATACATCACCTGCGCTCACAAGGAAAGCGCCATGTCATTTTACGGATCTCTATAAGCAGAGTGTACGCACTGAACTTACCAATGGCTTTGATTGATTCTCCTGGGAAGAGCGGTGCTTCTTCCATCTGTGCCAGCTTATTTCCATCCCTTAGAGCCTGGCAAAAAACCAAACAGGAGTAAATCTCACTTTCCTTCTGTATACCTGGGAAGACTTGGGCTGTTCTGTGCTCTCGCTACACAGCTACAGAAGCGTGCGAAATGTATGCCCCCTCCCCTTACAAGACAGTTTCAAAGCTCAGCATCACAGGACACCATGCTGCATAGTCTAGCAAGTTATTACACATATTTAAAGTTCACAGTTAGAAAGCATTAATACATAAATGGCTTGACATGACAGATACTATAATCACTACACAGACAGCTATTATAAGGTGCCTCCAGAATTTGGAAATAAAGTAAAAATAAATAAATAAATAAAAATTAAAAGGTTACCTTCTGAGCATGAAACTAATACAAATAAAATCAACATTAGATGTAGGTGCTGTAGGAATGGCCCAACCTATGAGACAGTATGGGAAACCCCGAAGTCTAATTAATAAAGTTACCAGGGAGAGGTCTCGGGGAAGTGAAACTATCAAGGAAAGCCCTAGGCTTTTGTACTACAGCCTGGCTACCCCAAGACCCCACGTGTGTGCACAAAGCATAGTAGCTTGTCAGCGTGTATCCCATCCAGGCCACGGGAGTGCGCCCTCATCTGGCAGATAATAGTATTTCAATCACGGCTGTGGAGCAGGGTGTGTGTTCCTTGGGCTACTCCCAAGCCAGTTCACTCTGTGCTGACTCCACACTCGCCAGCAAATTGCTAATAAGGTACTAGGTTTCCTGGCTACGATGATACTAGGAAAAGGATGTCTTGGATGGATGGCTATTACAAGGTAGCTGGCTATAAATGTGGGTCCATGCCCACAGTTCTAAAGTTCTAAATGTGCAGATTGCCACTGCAGCCCAGTGGCCCCTCTCTTGCGAGCTTGGTCGCGTAGTGCCCGAGAACTCAGGGGACCTGAGAAAATGGTGTTCTAGAATGAAAAAGCTGGAGACCAGAGTCTGAACTCGGGGCCCATTCCAAGATACCCCCCACCCCCGAGATGCTGCCCAAAAAAGTGGTCACTTTCTCCTTGGCATCTGACACAGTGTGTTACCAATAAGAATAAGGTGTTCAAAACCCCAGCAATTCCAAAGCTGTGTTTCATAGAGCATTAAATTCCCAAGAGATGTGAATAGGTCTTTTTTTTAGTTTGGGAAAATACAGGATTAAAGAAAACAAACTTTTTTTTTTATGTGCTTGTTTAGTGTGTTAATGTACGCCAAATCAGCAAGAGGGCGCTAGAGTATGCTGCATCTCCCATACCTATTTGATCAGAGACTGCTTTCTCCACAAAAATACCTGTTAACATCAGGAGGCCACTAGTCTTCAGTGGAAAACAGATTGGACAATACTAAGTTTTCAGCATGATTTTGTGAAACAAAACATTAGAAAACTGGTAACTTTTATAATTCTCATGCAAAGCATTGAAAATTCAAAACAACTACTTTTTATAGTTATAAGAACATTTTATTGTTTTATTAAAGGAATTTGGGGTCAATTTAAAAACACTATGCATGGTAATTTCATCAAAAGTGTCAAAATAAAGTAAGGGAAAACGTCAAATTATAAAAAATAAATTCCATGCTAAATGTTGGTCAGGGTATGTCTGTTCTATAGGGAGGGTACAGTATGATGCAATTCATCTTCCTCCTTATCAAGATAGACAATGAAAATAATACATATTAGGGCTCCTTGTTACCTCCCAACAATTTTATTCCATTTGAATTGTTAGTCCACATTGGTTTTTGAAATACTTTTCAGCCCCAAATTTTAGGGATGTAGAAAACTATTAAAGGGGATGTGGATACGTGTTTGTTCACTCATTTTTATACTCACACCTGATGTGGAAATATATCTTTTATACAATAAAGCATAAATCAATATTTATACTTTTAAAAATGTCAAGTTTTAGAAACACTAAAATAAAACCCAAATTTAAATAGAAGCCTTAATTTGAAATTCAGCTTTCTTTAATTTACTACCTGAACTAAAGACTAACTTTATAATATAGTTCCAAAGTGAGAAAGCTATTTTAATCACTATCCAAGTTTTATATTACTTCAAATATTACATTGTTAAAGCTTATTTTAATGGCCAAATATTATCATCTATTATATAGACTTAAATTTCTTAACTTATACTTAAAAATAAATGGGGAAAGGTTATTTTGAAATATATTTACTAAAGCAAGCTGTTCTCATCAACTGTATCTGGAAGGGGTAGGAGAAAATGCGGCTCACTTTAAGCCTTATAGCAAGCCACACCAAATACTTTATAAAGTCCTCAACCCAGGACGAGCTAGCAAAATGTTGCGGATAGGAGACAGCAGTGAATGGGACCATTCTGAGAAGGTACAAGGCTCTCAAGATAGAGGTTGAAGATCAAACATTTCTCTTGTCTTCTGAAAGCCATGTTGAATTTGGCTTGAAATTCTTGTGCATTTATATGAAGCATGACTGCGTTTGTGAGACATAGTGAGACAAACTTCTCACTAATAATTAAATCTGGGACATGCTTTCTAATTTATGAGAAAACAACTATCAGAACAAAACAGATAAATGATCCCACTGCTTCACATTTCCCCATAAAAGAGTTATTTTGTACAGGAAACACATTTAACTTTAGCATAGGAATTCAAGAAGAGAATAGTTTTTAAAGGCTCATTGTTTGGTGAGTACAGTAGATTCCCTTTATAAAGCTGTTGTTAGGAAATGGGTCTCACACTTGTGCTACATTAAGCTTTGACTGCAACTACCAAGTTGCATAGGACATGATTTGACCCTTGATTTATCCAACCCATGTACAGACAGCATAATGAAAGAATGGAATAGTCTCATGAACGAAATTTGATCTCCTGAACACACCCATTCCTCTTGGTGTCCTGGCTCCAAGTATTGCCCAGTTGCGGAATTCCCTCTGCTGTTCCCATCTAAACCCTGTTCCGGCAACCCTGAAAGTCCAGCGGAAGGCCCACCAGTTCCTTGAATTTGTCCCCAAGGGCTCAAGCCCACGGATGTCCCTGCCCTCGTCACTACTTTTCTCCTCACCTGATTCTAATATTCTGGGTGGGCAGTTAATGGCTCCATGCCGAAAGCAATGGTTTCCAAATCGGGTGCTTCAAGGTGCTTCCAGAGTCACCAAAGGAAGGTGGGCTGGGCAGAGGCACAGCTGAGCACGGGGCCTTGCCACATTTCCCTGGAGTGCACATCTACCACTCTCACATATTGAGTTTCTCCATAAGCTTTGGGGAAGGTTCTGTTGCTTTAAAAGACTCTAGAGCAGCGGTTCTCAACCTGTGGGTCGTGACCCCTTTGGGGGTCGAACGACCCTTTCACAGGGGTCGCCGGGTACTCGTATGTGGGCGTTTCTGCACGTGGACCTGGAGACGGATAGAGGAGTGGTGTCTTGGTTCCTAAGACCATCGAAAATATGTGTTTTCCGATGGTCTTAGGCAACCCCTGTGAAAGTTTGAGAACCGCTGCTCTAGAGGATCTAGAGGTACTGAGTGAAGAGTAAGCACTCAAGGGTACTCTAATGAGTATTTTTCTTCTGATCAATAAATACTAACTACATGGACTCATTCCACAGGTACTTCCAAAGTGCCAGATCCTGCGCTTGTCACGGACCATGCACATTTGAATAAAGCAAAATCCGCACCCTCAAGGAACACCCTTAGCCTATGCCTCTGTCCCTTCTAAGTCTTTGTAACAGCATTTCAGAATCCTTTCATGACTGACGTTCGTTACCTCATCAATAGCCCTATATGGGGAAGCCAAGAAGTACAGGTGAACAAATTTCTGTTTGACAAAATGTTGGATAAACCAATTTTTGCAAATAATGTCATAATGGAATCTACCAAACTTGGACAGGAGGGCACTACGATAGTGATAAAAGCATTTGCTTATTGTCTAGAAATCTAGTATGAAATGGCTTCTAAATACACGATCTGCAGCTACAAACAGATGAACACGTAGAACTTGCCACCTGATCAGCTTCAGCTTCAGAAGGGTAGCCATTGTGTTCTTCCTGAATCTCCTGCACAGCACCAGGTGCATGGACAAGAAAAGGCAAAGAGGAGAAAGAGAAACACGTGCAAACAGACAGGTGAAAGGACAGAAGTTCTTTTTTAAAGAGACAGTAAGCATGTAAAAGTTGACACACCTTTCACGGCTTTGCAAATCACAACATTTCAGCCCTTGGCGGTAAGGGAATAACCTGTAGGCCACCTATAGCATCCTCAGCCTAAAATGGAGTATCTATTCTGTGTGTGTGTCGGGGTAGAAAAATGAAAAGCAAACATCATGGATTTCAAAAAAGGTAGTCTTTTGAAAATCAAGCAATACGTACTACACCATATAGCAAAGAAACAAAATAACAGACATATGATATACTCATAGCAAATAAAGCACACCACAGAAACCAGGTGAAGGGCAAAATCAAGCCAAAATACAAAGGCAGTTCATAGACATGCATTTTAAACACAGTAAGTATTCATATGCTCTCAAGAATTATTATATTGTCCAGGGGTCAACTCCAGTGGTATTACCAAAATTTCCACAAACATGCGCATGCCCATGTCACATGCTGGAGATATACGTATACACATACATATACATATATGTATACATATAACCTGGTACTTATTGCTCATTGCTAATTAAATATTTGAATTATAAATCAATACCATATGAAATACTTCTAATTACAGTATCAACATGCTTCAAACAAACAGTTAAAAGTCACATATCTTTATGTAGTTTTTTCCCAGTCCCTTTAAAGGTATACTGTTCTTAATTTCTTCATAGAATCAGTTTTTGAAACTTTAAAAATTGGACTTTTAGTTCATTAGATGGTATAAAGAATATGAATACTGAAGATGAAAATATTATTACACCTTTTAAAATTTGTGTCAAGTCTCTAAGGCTGAACGTATTAAAATTTAGTATAATATATATTTTCCTTCATGAAACTTTGGATACAGTGACTATATTTCTTTGAAAGGCAATCAGTGAAGAATTAGCAAAGCTTTAAAAGAATTTACTATTCCCTACCTTTCATTTTTGTCAATCAAGTAAAAGAGCTACTTGATACATTTTTATACTTTATTATCAGATCGAATTCAGTACACAGTTGGTACTGCTCCCCCTCAAAAGGGGATAATTTTTTAAATGGAGCCAGTTTTTTGAAATTTCCATTTTTTAAAATACAAAGAAAATGGAATCATTCTTTGATAAAATGTTTTTAATCAGAAAAATGAATGACTAAACAACAGAAAAACCACACAGCATTTGAAAGTCCATGCAAATGTAAAGCCAAACACTAATATTTAACAATGTGAATCAGTCAAAGAAAATGATTCTCATGAGCAAAAGAAAACATGGCGAAAACAAGATTAAATAAAGATAAACCAACTAGACCTGACTCCTAAGAATCTGACTTAACCTGCGTATGTTTGCATGACTTCATTGGCTTCAATGACATGAAAACTTTTAAACTGAAGTCACTAATTATTCTGTCAAAATCCACATTGTTTTCATTTAATGGAAATAGGTTAATTTTCAACATCTGATACTCAGGCTTAAATGCGTGTACATTACCAATCTTTGTCGTGCTCTATGAACACTCTGAAATAAAGGGGAGAAAAATCATGAGGAAAATATAAGCTCTAACCCACTGGATGTAACAGCTACATCCGGGGTTTAAGAAATACTAAATGGGACTGATTTTGCTACACTTATCTTTAGGGTTAGCACTTCTGCTTTTGGGATTCAGCATGCAGACACAAAGGTGAGTTAAAATCTTACTTAGATAGGATGGACAATAACTGACCACTCTGCTGTGGTTGCTTAAATGCTTTAGCATGAATTAATGAGCAACAACGTGAAAAGGGGACTCTGTAGGCCTAGTCTCATAAGCCCCTGCCACGAAGATCCATTTGGTCAGAACTCATGAAACACAACAAAAGTCAGTATTACACACTTGTAATTAACAATTTCAGCATCCTGCCCTTACACACATTGGCTTTCATTGTGCATACAAACATTGTAACAAATAAAGCATTTCTAGTGAACACTGAAAGCTATGACACAGCAGAGCAAATTGATCTGAGTGACTCATAAAAACCAGTGAGAAGGTAAAGAACACTAAATAGACCAAGTGTTCCGTAAAGCACAGAGACACACAAGTAGGAGGCCCATCCACTGAAAGCCAAACATCCTTACCCTTATATCAGGCCTCCTGAAAACCTGTTAGTCAAAATACAGAACATCATCACAAATACGTTACTACTGACCTGTACAAAATGCCATTAAGTTCACCAGCCCATTCCCTAAGGAACATCATAATTCTCTATATAAAACCAACCAGATCAATCGTAACACATTTGCCCTCTAAGTTTTATTCAATAGCAAATCAATCCTAACACATTTGTCCTATCATTTTCAGGCAAGTCTATGGTTTGGAGAAACTTATCGCCCTTAGGCTAAGACAAGCGACATTATTTTAAACACACACCCTTTCTGTCAAGTGCTATTGCAAGCCATTGTGAACAGGCAATGTTTGAAAAGTTCATTTGTGTGTCTGTTTGGAATACTGAACACATTTTCCCATAGAAACAATGATATAAAAAGGCGGTTCTGCTCCCAAACCAGCCCACAGAAACAAAACAAAACTGAACCAAAAAACCCACAACAGCTCCCACATTGTACCCAGAGCACAGCTCAGCTGTAGTGTTAATGGTATCACAAAACCCAGCTGACCACAAATCTTCACCAGGTTGTTAAAGAAATTATATTTCTGACTCGCACTTGGGACTCTAGAATTAGACTCCTTGATGAGAACAACCCATTGAGAGAAGGGTGCTTGTCCAGCTCCCCAGAGTCCCCTGCCTGGGGAAAGGCAGCTCCAGGTGGGAAGAGGGTAGCTCGCTGGTCTGGGAGGGCAGGGGAGGAAAGAAAAAGGGAGGGAGGCCTCGGCTGCTTTCCCCGCAAAGGGGAAGCCAAGCTTTACTGAATGCAGACACTGCAGCAACATTCTTCCTTCTTTGCTTGTGAATGCTACTTTAGCATGCAGGGTATGCACTCAGGAAGCCTGGGTCAGAGGAAACATCCCTGAGAAGGGGTGGAACTTTTGAAAAGCGAATAGTGGTAATGGTCCGAGGAAGGCTTGAATTGTCTGTTCCCCATTCCAAAGTCTGAAATCTGACCATCCAACTAACTGGATGGCCTATGGAAAACAGATCATTAAAAAAAATCACCGGAGGTTCTTATTATCTGTATAGGTTTTACTTGGGATACATAAGATCACACGAATGAATAGGAGGGTATAGACTTCATCGTTGTATCACCATTAAAAGAAAATACTGGCTGAAGTACAAATGGTTTTCTGAATTACGTGATGCTGGAGCTCAAAAAAGTACTAAAGCCCATACATTCCTAAATGTAGGCTATTTAGACTAAAAAGCTTAAACCCAGCTCTTTTTGGGGATGGGTGATGGGTATGTTTATCATCTTATTTGTGGCGACAATTTCACAAGAGTGTCCCTATCAAAACTTACTAAATTGTATACTTTAAATATGTGACATTTATCATTTGTTAATGATACCTCAATAAAGTTAGTACAAAATAGTTACGTTAATAACAAGTCAAAATGGGACATACATGGCAATAAAAGCTCAAAATTGAATCTCTGCTCCCCAAGCGTTATTCCTCAGTGATAACCATGTTCAATACACCTCTATTTTTAATTCTGAGGACCATCTCCATAACATAAAAATGTTTCCACCTTGACTTCTTGATTTGTCAACTTGAAACCGTAGCTAGTGACCTCCCATTTTAAAAGATGAGGAAATAAACTTTCTCAAACTACCATCTCCTTCTTCCTAATCTCTGCTAATTGAAATTTTAATTTTTAGTTCTTTTATTGCCTTCAGCAGCTGCATCATGGGGGAAAAATACTCATGAAATGACCTCTAGGTGCCAGACACTCTTCTGAGCACTTTGCATTCATTAACTGATTTTACTCTCAGAACAACCTTGTGAGATAAAAACTATTATTGGCCCCATTTTTGATGAGGAAACCAAAGCACAGTTAAGTAATCTGGCCATGTTCAAGGTGGCAAAGCAAGTATTTAAACCTGGTGGTCTGCTATACAGCCTCAGCGTAGTGTCACTGTAATGAACACATTTAAACTATAGCCTTCACACATACATACAATCGCTCAGGGCTGACAAAGAAATCAACACCGCTACCCCTTCCTGCACTTCCTGTCTCTACTTCCAAACTTCTGCTCTAGCAAGCCATTATTTTCACATTTGTTCTGTAACTACGATTGCTTTTTTGACACTGTCTATAAAGTGACAGGAACAATAAAAAATGAAAAAGCAGCATTCATGAGCAGTGGAATTGGGCCTCATATGTAGGACATACGTGGTGTGATCACAAAACACAGTGAATGTTTAAATTAAAAAAAAATGATTATAGTAAAAGACACGTTGCCATGAATCCCCCTCAAAATGCTCCCCCTCACTTAAAGCACTTATTCCATCATTCCTGCCACTTTCTGAAGCAGTTCTGGAAGTCCTCTTTCGTGAGTGTCTTTACTTCATCCTCCACCATGACAACGCTCCATGTCACACATCGCTTCTGGTATACGGCAATTTCTGTCAAATAAAAACATTATGGTGTGTCCTCATCCACCTTATTCACAGGATCTGGCACGGTGCGACTTCTGTCTCTTCCCCAAAGTCAAAATGATCATGAAAGGTAAATGTATTGAATCGGTTCAGGACATCAAGGCAGCCACGACAGTGCGACTAAAGACCCTCACGAAAGAGGACTTCCAGAACTGCTTCAGCAAGTGACAAGAGCAATGGGATAAGTGTGTTCGAAGCGAGGGGGAGCATTTTGAGGGGGATTAATGGCAATGTGTCTTTGACTGTAATCATTATTTTTTATTTAAACATTCACTGTATTTTTTAATCACACCTTATACACCATTGCCAACAAGCCTTTGCTACTGGAAGGAGAAACTAACTCGAAAGTCTGGAAAGGGGTAGGATGATAGCGTGCTTTTACACTCACAATTCTTTATCTACTTGTAATGAAATCCTCAGTATTGCTGGTGTGAGTCCAGGGAGGTCAACAGAGGCGCTCCTGGAAGTCTCTAAGTTGATCCCTAAGTGTTCCTCTGTGGTTCAGTTTACACCTCTCCTAAATGAGCCATTTGAGGCACAGAGGGGTTCATTTTTTTTTTCTTGAATCAGATTCTGATCGAAGCTGGAGAATAGTGGTTTTATGTCAGGAGACCTGGGGCCAGCTCTCTCCAGCCAGTGTGGGGCCTTCTCATATCTGCACTTGGCCTCAATCTTTACACATACAAAAGGAGAGTAGTCTACCGAATGACTGCAGGGACCTGGCCAGTTCTAAAACCATAGGACTCATTTATCTACACCTCACGCAAAGACTTCAGAAAACATCTTCCCAACCAAAGCTTCAGGAGGCAAATCGGCAGAGTGGTTAAAAGAATGAGCGCTGGAGTCCAACTCTGCTTCCACCACTTACTGCCCGCCAGACCCTTGACGAGTGGCACAAGCCGGCAGTCTTAGTCCCCTAGTCTCCTCTTGTCTAAATCAGTGATGCTGGGAATACGTCCCTTGCAGGTTGTTGGGAGAGTTAAATCGGGTAACATAACTAACTGTACCTGGGTGGACAAGTACTCGGGAAGCAGTGGCGAGCATCAGCACTATTTAGGTAACCTTTTTAAGTTGATGGGTCTCAGCCTCCCCAACTTGCACCACAACTCTCCTCAGCTGCCTCACATCCCTCTCTCAACTCCTACACGTGCCAAGAAGCTGTGAGAAGGTGCAAAAAAGTTAAAGATCTCAGTCAACTTAGCAAAGCAAGCAGACTGCCCGAAAGTTAACTCAAATTTACCTACTTCTAAATGGCTTTCACTAAATCAAGAAAGAGCACTGTGAAATGACCCCCGTTCGTGACACAGAGCTCCTAAAACCCTTGTAAATAAGAGTGCTAAGACCATCTCTTGTTCTAACATTTGAGTTTTGACCTCAGTTCCTGACAGAGCTCCTAAAACCCTTGGAATTTCCTGGATGATAGGAGTGTCTTTGTTCTAACTCTGGGTGGACTCTTGGATGGGGGCTTGTTACGGGAAAAGAGCGAGTCATTATTAGAAGCTTGAGACTTGTCGGTGCCACCCCTCCCATCCACAGAATAGGGAAGAGGGACTGGAAAATGAGCTTATAGACCATGCCTACGCGTATGTGATGAAGTTTCCATAAAAACCCCCGAAGTATGGGGTTTAGAGGGCTTCTGGATTGAACACATCTACATGCTGGGAGGATGGTGCACCCTGACTCCATGGGGACAGAAGCTCCTGTACTTGGGGCCCTCCCAGACCTTGCCCTATGTGCCTCTTCACCTGGCTGTTTATCTGTGTCCTTCATCATACCCTAATAAAACGGTCAATGGAGGTCAGTGTTTCCCTGAGTTCTGTGAGTTGTTCTAGCAAATGACTGGATTCAAGGAGGGGGTTGTGGGGAACCTCCAATTTGTAGCCAAGCCTGGCGGAAGTTGCGGGGAGCCTGGACACCCCCTACTTGCAATTAGTGTCTGAAATGAAGGACAGTCTCATGGGACTGGGCCCTTAAACTGTAGGATCTGCACTGACTCCAGTTAGCGTCAGAGTGAACTGTAGCACACCCAGCTGGTGTTGGAGAATTGGTCAGTGTGGGAAAAACACACATCCGATGTCGGAAGTATTCTGGGAATGTGGTGTGAATAGCAGGGAGGAAAACAGTGAGTTTTTTCCCAGACAAGCACCAAAATTTAAATTTGTATAACAGTTTGTGTTGGAGGTAAAGCTCCCTTCCTTTGCCCTCAGGTTCCATTCAAGTCATCCTTTGGGGCACCCTCCACCAGAGAGGTGGGGGCTCGGCCTGACCACTTGCTCTGGGTGGATTTGGTAAGGAGCCAACGTGTTCCCTTTTGCCCGTCTGGGCTCTCCGGGATCTGTGTGCCAGCCTGCTTGGAGGGTACAGTCTGGTCTCCCTAGGCCAGCGGTTCTCAACCTGTGGGTTGCGACCCCTTTGGGGGTCGAATGACCCTTTCACAGGGGTCACCTAAGACCATCGGAAAACAAAAAGATATTTACATTATGATTCATAACAGTAGCAAAATTACAGTTATAGAAGAGCAACTAAAATAATTTGATGGTTGGGGGTCACC